CCMRSCYTTTTTTTTGTATTTTTATTTAGAGACAGGGTTTCACTGAGTTGCTTAGAGCCTCRCTAAGTTGCTGAGGCTGGCTTTGAATTTACAATCCTCTTGCCTTAGCCTCCACTGGGATTACAGGTGTATACCACCACACTCAGCTTGAAGCTCTTTTTAATCCTCAAATTTCACAGGACTGTTTAATACATGTCAAGGGAAGGAAAAATGAAAAAGATGGAGAGGGATAAAAAATGAAACAAAGTGCTGGGTGCCGGGTGTGGTGGTGCATATCTGTAATTCCAGCAGCTCAGGAGGCTGAGGCAGAAGGATCACAAGTTTAAGACCAGCCTGAACAACTTAATAAGGTCCTAAGCAATTTGGTGAGACATTGTCTCAAAATAAAAAATAAAAAGGGATGGGCTGGGTTCAATCCCCAGTACCCCCCACCCCGAGATGTACAAAATAATGTACAAAAATTATAAATAACTACCTCTGTAAAGTTATCTCACACACACACACACACACACACACACACACACACACAATGTGAACCATACAGAAAATATATATAGAAAAACCTAGGAGGAAATATACCAAAATATTGGCAGGCAGCATCCATTTGTATATGTGCTTTACAAATTCCCTACTTTAGAAACCACTTTTAAAAGATAGGTTACAAAGGGCATGGATGGTTTGATCCCACTGTTTAAGACATTTGTGCATGTGAGGTGGATGGGTGGTGATGGTGTATGGATAGAAAAGGGTTTGGAAGAATGTGTACACAATGCTAATAGAAATCAAATAGAATGATAGCTGAGTTTTTATCTTTTTTTAAACTTTTAAAAATAATTAGTCTGACCCTATATTCTAGAACAAAACAATATTACTTTCATAATGATAACAAAACAAACAAATTTTTGTGGTGCTGGGGATCAAACACAGATCCTTGTTGATGCAGGGCAAGTGCTCTACCACTGAGCTACAATGCCAGCCTACAGAGCAAAATTTTTAACTGGAGAAGAAGAAATAGCAACAATATGGAAAGGTGAGGAACAAAGAGAGGATTTATCAATATAAATATCATATTAAGTTACGCTTAATGATACCCCCCAAAATACATTTCTTACATTTTGGGCCCTAACAACATCCCTAAAATTCTCATCAAATACAATATCTCCTAGATGAACCATTGAAGACCTGCAAATATCTGTCCCCCCAAAATATGCCTCCTCCCATCTTAAGTATCACTTTTTCCCCCCTTGCTAAGTTGCTCAAGCTGGTCTTAAGCTCTTGGGATCAAGTGATYCTCCTGCTTCAGATTCCTGAGCATCTGGGACCACAGGTGCCCCCACCACACCTGGCTTCTGGCATCACTCTTGAGCTTGTTATCCCCATGAGCTGTGACTGCAGCAATGTCTCTGAGTCCCACTTCTAAATCATGTGCTCAAATATTCCCACTCAGCAATTCTTTTCCTGAAGCCCTCGAGTCCACACACTCCCACTTTTTCCTTCTATTGCCTTTCTGTCCTCCTTGGTTCCTTCCTTGATGAACTTGGTTTTAATGATCCCACATTTCAACACACCCTTGCAAATATTTGGAACTTCCTTGCCTCTTTCTCCTGGTAAATACCAATGCTGGTTACAATAAACCATGGGCATACACTATGCCCACTTGCATTAAAGCAGCTGAAGATGGTTGGGGAAAGTAATAGCATTGTTCTCACCAGTCCAACTCTACTGGGATGACATAAATATCAAGTGTGATAGCAACACTGATGAGCAATCTTTCCATACTTCCTTGGTAGATTCATTGTCCCACTCTTTGAGATGACAATTTCATCCTTTCTCTCCAGGCAGTCTTTCATAACCCATCTCTTTGTGTTACCTTGCCTCTTATTTTCCTAGAAATCTGAATCATTTGGAAACTCCCTAATTTTCCTCCCACCACCTTCCCCACCCTTGTCTTCATTCTTACTCTTCCCATATTTTACCATGGAAGAAGGGCCCCTGCCCAAAGATTGGCAGCTCACTCAATACCTCATTATCACTCTCCTGGTAGAATTTAATCCCACACTCAGATCCTCCCCCAGAGCCTCAATTCTCCCTCTGTCATATGCTCCCTATAAAATCAGAAGCATCTCTAGCATCTCCCTGTMTAACAAAAAGACAAACTTTCCCTCATCATTTTTTAAGAATAGTCACCCCAGTGATTGTCAAACTTCAGTCTATATATGAATCACTTGGAGGGTTTGTTAAAATACACATCAGTGGCTCCACCCTAGAGTTTTTGGTCCCATCAGGTCTTGGGGCTGGAGGATTTTTATTTCTAACAGGTTCCCCTGAGATGTTGCTGCAGCCCCACTTTGGGACCTACTGATCTATACTGATTGTCTCTTCTTTACCCACTTCTGCCTTTTTGAAAGACTAGAAGTGACTTTCATGAACTCAAATCCAGTGGTCCCTTCCTCCTCATCCCCTTGCTTAGGCTTCTTGGAAGTATTTGATGCAGATGGACATGCCTGCTCAAAACACTCCTCTTGGTTTCTCTAATACCATGCTCTCCTTGTTTTCCTCCCACTTCAGTGACCTCTTCTTCTAGGTCTTCTTTGCTGGCTTCTCTTTCTCAGGAAGACCCTTAAATATGCCCCAGAGCTCCACTGGGACTCTCTCTTTTTCCAGATAYATTGTTTCCCTAGGCAGGTTCATCTGTTTCTATGGCTTAAATTCAGTCTATCAGTTGAGGACTCCCAAATCTGTCTCTAGCTCTRACCGATCTGAGTTGCAGTTTCTTGTATTTAACTGCCTCTTGATATCTTCATGTTGATATCTTCATGTGGATATGTGTACACAACCGTGCCCGGTTTTTATACAGTTCATAGAAGAGTAGTGGATATACGATAATCACATACTTAAAGTGTGTGATTAGATAAATTTTGACTTGTGTATACCTGCCCTGTGATATCATAAAATAGTCAAGGAGATGAACATGTTCATCAACCCAAAATTTCCTTACCAATTTACAGTTTCTCTCCTGCTTCTCCTCACCCCAACCTGAGGCCACTACTGATATACTTTTTTCTTTACTAAATATTAACTTACATCTTTTWGAATATTCTATAAATGGAATCATGCAGTATATGTATATATTTTTGGTCTAACTTCGTTCAGTGAGAATAATTATTTTAGGTTCATCCACTTAATGCAATCAGTAGCTTATTCCTTTTTACTCCTGGGAATTATTACTTTTCATGGATATACCATATCACAGACAATGACAGATTATGTGGGTAACTTCATAATCTATTAACAGACACATTCATTTATCTCTTGATATAAATTTGAGTTCTTTTTTGTTTCTGGCTTTTAGAATTAAAGTTGCTGTAAACATATGCTTTCATTTCTCTTGGATAAATATCTAAGAGTGGAAAGACTGGGTCACATGATAAGTGTGTGCTTAACTTTTTWAAAAAATAGCTAAACTATCTTCCAGAGTAACTACTTACTTATGCCATTTAACATTTCCAATAGGAGTATATGAGAACTCCAGTTGCCCAATGYTCCAGTACTTGATCTGGTCAGCTGTCTTAATTTTAACTATTCAAATGAATGTGTAGTGGTATCTTGTTGCATTGTGGGGTAGGTATTGGGGATTAAACTCAGGGGACCTTTACCACTGAGCTACATCTCCAGTCATTTTTGTTTTTAATTTTGAGACAGGGTTTTGCTAAGTGACATAGAACCTCACTAAATTGCTGAGGCTGATCTTGAACTTGCAAGCCTTCTGATTCAGCCTCCTGAGACATTTGGGATTACAGGCATGTGCCACCATGCCTGGCCTATCTCATTGTATTTTTAATTTTCAGTTTCCTAATGACTCATGRTGCTGAGCATTTTTTCATGTACTTATTTACCATTCACTTACCTTGGTGAAATTTCTGTTCAAATATTTTACATATTCGAAAAACAATGTTGTTTATTTTCTTCTGTCTGTGACTAATGTTTTCCTTTTCTGAATGGCTTCATTTGAAGAGTAGAAGTTCTTAATTTTGATGAAATCAAATTTATCATTTTTTAATTTTATAAATCATGCCTTTGGTATCATATCTAAAAACTCTTTACTTAACCATAGGTCATAAAGATTTTCCCCCTATGCTTTGTAGGACTTGATTTATAGTTTTAAATTTGACAGTTAGGTATGTGACCCATTTGATTTATTTATTTTTTAGTAGACTATGAGGCATGGGTTGAAGTTAAATTTTTTTAACATATGGATATCTAAGTTTTCCAGCACCATTCCTTATAAAGACTGCTCTCTCCACAGTGATTTCATTAGCATATTTGTTGAAGTCATTTGACTCCATGCATGGAGGTCCACATTTGGATTCTGTACTTGAACTTGGTGTCAATGAAAACGTTAGGCATCAGTAAGTTAGAAGCATCTAAACTTCCACCTCTCTCATCTTGTTCCAAGCAGTATTGGAAGCAGTCTGAAGTAGTTATTTACTCTTGGTCCACAAAGGACTAAAATGCATTACTCATTACATTATTTTATTTCAAATGATTCAATCTATACACTGAATTCAATAATCTGATCTATATGCTGTGTCATTGAGGTAGGGAGGAAAYTAAATTTTGGCCCTGTATTGAATTGTATTTTAATTATGTCTGTCCTCTTACAATGAGAACTCTCCTTTGAGTCAGACTATTTTTTAAAATATATGTAGCTTTCCCCTGTCTTTGGGCTGAGAATTCCAAATTTGTAAATAACTACTGTGCCCAGCTCCTTGCCCTCTTTCTCCACTCTACTGTTTAGTCTTCATGAACTAAAGGGTTGAGCTTCAGTGTTAAGGGGTGAAACATAAAGTTTTATTTTTGGGGGGGAGGGGGGGTACCAGGGATTGAACCCAGGACACTTGGCCACTGAGCCTCTTCCCCAGCCCTATTTTGTATTTTATTTAGGGACAGTGTCTCACTGAGTTGCTTAGTGCCTCGCCATTGCTGAGGCTGGCTTCGAACTCACAATTCTCCTGTCTCAGCCGCTGGGATTACAGGCGCRCTACCATGCCCAGCTAAACATATAAGGTTTTAATGGACTGTTTAAAGGCAGGATTTGAATCAAAGGTGACAACTCCTAGTGAGTTTTCTTGGCTGACCCCTTTGTGCTTCTAAGTGGTATTTAACAGTACCTGGTAAAACCTGTGAGTAAACTAATACAAGTATTTTTGGCTATGCAGAGGCAGGCATAGAAGTGCTCTCTCAGCTGTCTCAACTAACTGGCACATTCTTTACTGCCCCCACTGGGATTGCAACTGGCTCTTACCAACACAGTAAGTGCTTATGACTGGTGACTATGCCCAACAACATACACCAACTCCAGGATCACTAGAAGACAAGAACACTTGATAATCATGCCGTGGCCAATGTCAACATCTGCATTTCATCCCTTCTCTAAAGGAATGCTATCATTTCCCAAATTATGTAATTTCATATCACTGGGTCTTTTGTTTAGAGGGGATTATTTATTACAAATATTTTCCTTCAAGAAATCATTTACAAAACCTTGGTTGAAATTATCACCAGCAAGAAGTATAGCTGCTGATCTAGAAAAACAATAAGTACAAATAATAGTTTCTCTTGGTAAAATGTAATCAGAATGGGTTTCTTTGGAAAAACAAAACTGTAGGTATAAGGAGATGTTAACAGAGTCCCATTCAGATCCCATTTCAGCAGCATTATCTGAGAAGAGAAACAAAGAGAAAATATACTAGAAAGCAAACTTTCATCTAGATTCTAAAGCTTCAAACATTAGATCAAATGTAATATTGGCTGAACAACAAGAGAACAAAATTGCTTTGCTACAGTAACATGAGTCATTTTTCCCTTTAAAACTCCCTTGCTTTCTATTAACAGGGGATGATGGAGAAACTATATAGAGCTTTACTTCTCTATTCCCCAAATGCCAGGGGCCATTCAAGACTAGGAAAGTTGGCATGATTGGGAAACTTGTAAGGGAAGGGACTCTGTGCAGAGGTAACAAAAAACACATTGTTTTATAGTTTTGAAGCAGAAATTACTTGTTAATTTTAGTTCACATAACAACACCACCCTATGACAGCCCTGTGGCGAGAGGAATCGGCCTAGCTGGGCAGAGCAGGGCATGGGCACTGTCATTTACAGTGTGGAACAGGYTTTCTTCTTTTCCTCCTCCTCTGCTTCTCCTTACTCTGGTTTCTCCTCCTTTCCCCTCTCTTTTTCTCATTCTCCTTATAAAAGAACCTATTATAAAAAAATTCACATCTATCAATGAAATTTTGGGAAACAACCCAAGTAAGATTAGCTCTCCATTAAGGACAGAAAAAGCAGATTTATCATACCCTGCATCTTCTAGTCTTGCTTTTTAAGAAAACTTTTTCTTTTTTAAAATATCTTTTAGTTGTAAATGGACACAATATCTTTATTTTATTTATTTATTTTTATGTGGTGTTGAGGATTGAATCCAGTGCCTCACACATGAGACGCAAGAGCTCTACCACTGAACTACAACCCCAGTCCCCAAGGAAACCTTTTAAAGCACCACTGGAGATATTTGCAGAAAGAGAYAGCAGTTTGTCCTAATTTAAGAAAGATACAGGGTTGGCTTTGTGATGGGGAATGGAAAATGATGAATGGAATTTTCTAGTATTTTCACTTTTAAGATGAATAGATAAAGCAATACATTCTTGCTAAGCTGACTGCTCTGCTTCCCAATGCACATGCAGTAGCTATTTAATTTTTGATTTCAAGTAGAATATATCAACCTTTCTATGATGAATAGACAGGCATTTAAAATGATTATTTATGTCCTTTTGAGTTTCGAATCTTACTCTTAACATCTTGGTCTTCTAATGGGGAAGGATATAAACCTAGTACAATTGGGGCTTTGTTATACTTTAAACAAAAAGTAGAATCTTTTCATCTGAGCTCAACTCCACAATAATAAAAGGAAAAAATAATGTTAGTTCTTAGTGAGTGGCTGGGACCTCAGCAGGCTGGGCCTCCTCCTTCCATCTACTTCAATGAAGCCAAGCTACAGATGTGGTCCAACCTCACAGACTTCCTGGAAGATGCCTTGAAATCAGTGAGGAGAGAGTTAAGACCTCTCTTCAAGGAGCTGCAGAAGGGCATCAGTGGCAGGATGATAGGTAAGTACGCTAGCAGCTTCTAACGCAGGTCCATTATGAAGTTCATTAGGAATGGTACAAGCAAAATTTAATTCTTGAACATCTTCAGTAAAACATTTATCCCTTTTTTCATATTTTATTTCAAATAATGAATACCTACTAAGAAAAAAAATATATCCATGGTTCCTGTTTTTAAAATATACCATCTTATTAATTCCTGTGTCTGTCAACTTGGCCTAGACCAAATCTGCTGTTTGCTGAGCCAGACCAAACAGTTTACTCTAAAAGTTAACACCTGGCACTTAACATCCTAGTTAAGTCGATTTTACATTACTGCACCTATTATAYAAATTGTTCTAAAGTTTAAGTTCTATTTCCTATCTATCTAAATGATATAATTTGGTGATAGCTCCAATTTGCAGAGCTTAGTGGACATCTCTGAACTTATTTTCCCATTCAAACTCCCATTCCCATGATCAAAATATCACAATCATCCTTGGGGAACAACTTAGTGTGTCAGCTTTGAATCTTCAACTAGATCAGTCCATCCTTTAAAATGAAGTCTTTTTCATCATCTAGATAAATCCCCCTCTGCCTCATTTATAACCTCTTTCAATTTTTCCCAGTACTTTCCATCTGATTAAAGCCCTGTATCACTGGAGTCATTATGGCTGTATTCCTTTCTTCCCTTTCCTCCCCTGAGTAAATGTCTATTTACATAGCTACTGTCTGCACAAGAGCAGTAACACCTGTGCACACAGGTATTTTATCCATCAATAAATGTTCTACATCTCTTTGTAAATGCCTCCCATTAACACAGGACTTTTCCTCTTATTTTCTTGTACTTTGGGAGGTGTCCAGCAATGTTTTTAAGTACTTATGAAATTAATCACAGGAAGGAATTATTTCCCCTGGTTCTTTCACACATATAAATACCAGACAGAAAAATGGAAAGATAGACTTTTTATGTGTGTGGTGCTGGGGATTGAACCCAGGGCCTTGTGCATGTGAGGCAAGCACTCTACCAACTGAGCTATAACCCCAGCCCAAAAGGTAGATTTTTAAAGACAGAATTTTTAAAAAAAAAGTTGAACCCACCCAGTGGTGCTTAACCATTGAACCACATCTCCAGCCTTTTTATATTTTATTTTGAGACAGGATCTCGATAAGTTGCTGGGGCTGGCTTTGAACTTCCAATCCTCCTGCCTCAGCCTCCTGAGTTGCTGGGATTATAGAAGTATGTTTTTGATGATATATGTAGGCAGTGATAAGCCAATGAAAAAAACTTGTTTTCAAATAAAAGTAAGTTGTTCAAATACAAAAAAAATTTAAAATATGTATTTAAATATAAATTAAATATAAATTAAAATTTAAAATATATATTTTTCCTATGGACTTATAAAAATTTTTACTTCTATTTAAAATATATATTTTTTCCTATGGACTTATAAAAATTTTTACTTCTATTCTTTGCATTTTTGTCCACTAAAGAGCAGCAGTGAGGACTGAGTTGTTTCCTTTTTGTTTGCATATCTTACATAAATTAATTATAGGACACGTGACCTTGTATTTACAGGGCAATTTATGTTTGACTCCATGAGTATGACAAGCATTCTGAATAACCAAGACATTGCACAAGCTCTGGCAGATGGTCTGATGGAGCTGTCAAAAGAAAATTCTGTAAGTGTTTCACTGAAGAAAGCAAACCAGAAAAACCCCAATACTTAAATTCTTAGCTTGCACTTATCATTTTTAAACCATAATTTCTTAGAGAAATTACATCAGTTTATAAAACTAGCCATGGAGAGATTCTAGGCCTGAGATGTATTAGATACACAAAACAGACAAACAAGAACATATTCTGGATACTTAAAATATACTGTGCACTATTTTGTCTTGTGCTTAATTTCAGTGAGAAGTGACTTCTTTAAGAGAGATGTTAATTTTATACAACACAATATATATTTCACATAGTGAAAACAATCATTAGTATAAGGGAATAATGTGTGAAACCAGACATAGAAAGGTGAACGACGAGGGGGGTTAGATTAGGGGATGGGAAAGAAAACACAAAGGAATAGAAATAAACAAATCAGCAATTTGGTTGGTGGCAGGTCTGCGGAGCCCAAAGAAGTATTCTTATTAAAACCAAATCTTGGATGCTGTGGCAGGAAAGTCAGTCCACATTTCAGAAGACAATGAGGAGAAGTTAGACAGGAGGTTCCCTCTTTCTCCCCTCAAGATGATGGTGGGGCTCAGGGAAAATGAAATGTGTTGCTGGCTATTTGGGGGCCACTGGAAATAAGAATGATGTTGACTCTCAACACTGTCTAAGGTCTTCAGTTTCCAAGAGAAGGTTCTTCAGTCCTCTTCCATTGTATTCATGCTAGTTTGTGGGTGAATTGCCAATTGTCATTGCACTCATTCTATGTCGATGTTACCATATCCTCTGGTTTCTAGATGGCTTCCTGGATCACCACCAGACTTATGCATTATGCAGGCTTAGCTGTAGTGCATGGAGTTGCAGTTAGCTGTGATTTGTTTTCTCTGAAGGCTTAGCTTTGCAGTACTTAAGTCAAGGTGCACCAGCCCAGTGAGTTAAGACCCTGGTGAGCTCTGTTGCTAAAATGAGCAGGGATGTTCACAGAGTTGACCCTGGAGGCCTGGAAAGATACTGCACTTTCTCTCAAACACCAAAGAATTGCTAAACATGTTTGGTGTAGGTTCAGAAAACTTATTGCCACTAATTACTTAAAAAAGAATTATGTATGATATAATTTTGAGGGTGCGAAAGCCCATAGTGTGAGAGCAGAGCCTCAGGGTGTGTTTCCTAGCCACCCTGCCGCTGCGGCCTCTCTCCCAGGCCAACCTTCTTCCCTGAGAGACAGCAGGATCCCTCCTGCTCCCTGTCCTCTTTTGGCCAAGGGGTTGGTGTGGACGACTTTGGGTCTGAAGATCTTGAAAGACTATTGCATAAGACGTTGACCTGCTAATCATATTGTGACAAAAAGCCAAAAACAAGGAGCATATAATTATAGCTGGAATGAAATTAATTAGAAAGTCCCATTTGCCCACTATAAGAGTTATTATTTTCTGGATATATACATTAATTAGGTAGAAATCTGAAAACTTGGCTAAAAGTGTTCTCTTTTCTGCTATACCCTTGATTACCCATATTTCAGATGAATGCTTTAAATTGTATTTTGGGGGGGGGGGCATTTTTCAGGACAGGCCTCTGGAATTTTTGGCATGTTTTCTGCTGAAGAAATGTAGTAAAAAGAGCAAAGATGAAGGAAATGTTATTCTGACAAAATGTGACCTAAAAGAAACACTTGATTTGTTCACAAAGGTAAAGTTGCATCTTGATGCCATTGTTTACTGTAGTTTTAGGCACATGAGGGGAAGAAATTAGTAAGTAATAATGCTAGCTTTTCCTGGAAAACTTTCAACTTGTCATTTCTCCTCAGAACTTCATTTTTCATGGACTGTTTTTAAAAAAAGGCATTTTGTTGTTCTGTAGCATGAGTAACATTTAAGCCATTTCAACTGCTTGAGTAACAATACTTGGTTGTGGGAGAAAAGTACAATAAAAAAATTGGAAATTTGCATTTTATCTTGTTGCTTATTCTGTTGTTGGGTCCTAAGATAACTTGATTTTTTTTTTCATTTAAACTTTTGTTTTTTTGGGGGGAGCCAGAGAATTTTTTTCTTATGTTGAGATTCATATTTATAAAAGAAAAAAAATTTAGGTTTAAAGCTAGCTCTTCAGGGAAAAAAAATACATTTGGCAGTACTGAGCTCAAAATCCACACATTCTTTGTTACATGAAATAATCAGGATTCGGGGAAACACTGAGAATCATATTGTCATTCACAGAGCTGATTTCTAGATAGGGGAAAAGGTTATATTAGAACCATTTTTATGTTCAAAGAAAAGTCACCCATCTTTGGTATCTGAAGGCCTAAGTCCCACAACTCAAACTTGCCATTTAGACTGTTAGTAGGAATAGATGTGAGGGTTTCCCTAGTAGGTGAATCTCATCTGTTGCTTTATTAACCCAATATTCTGAAAGTATTTGTCAGTGCTTTGTTCAAGGATAGCTTAGTGCCAGCAGACATGGAGGATTGCAGGGAAGTATCCCCTCTTGCTAAGGTGCCCTGGACTGACTTAGCAAAACAAAAGATTTCAATTATTAAAACCCACCCAACTGAGATTGAGTCACCTCTGTTCCCCACCAAATTCCTTAGTCTTCCCAAACCAATCATCTCCCTGAGAGGAGTCATAAATAAACATATTGCAGGCTCTCTAAACTCTTCTTAGGATGGACCTCTGCTGGCCCACTGCCCAGGCTAAGTATGTTTTTTTCAGGAAACACTCCTAGACCACTTCTTAGGCAGAGAACAACTCCCTTCTTTTCAGTTCAGTTTCCTAATAATTACAGCAGCTATCCATTTGCTAGGTGCCATGCTAGATTCTGGGAATAGAGAGCTCAATGAGACACAGTCTCTGTGAGTGGCTGACAGCAGCACAGCAGATGGTAAGTGGTGGTGGTTAACAGAATGTGCAGGCTGGGAGACACACCAGGGTGGACCATTCATGCACACCCCCTTTTCCACTTCTCAGAGGCTGCTGCTTTTGCCTTGTCAGGGCAGCCACCTCTCTGAGATTTGGGTGTGTGTTTAGTCTGTATCTATCTTTCAGCCTGGGAAAGCCATTTAAAAATAATCCTACTCATTTTGCCTCYGTTCACATGATCCACATGTGACTGTATCACACAGGTTTCAAATTCTCTCAAAGTCCTTATGAGACTTGGGTGATCCTGACTCCCTGGAAACTTTATTGGAGTTTCTTGTACCCGCTACCAACCCAATAATACYTGCCTATGAAGCAGGCAAACTTGAAGAAAGCAGTAAGGACAAATCTGTCCATGCTTCCTCCTCTGAAGTGTCACTTTTACATGTTAAAGACCTAACTACTGGGAGAACTACTTGTGGAATCTCTACACCTACAGCAATGGTCACCAGAACAATTCCTTTCAAAGATGCTTTCCTCCTTGATCTTTCTTAAATTTCTTCTGCCAAATAAAATCCACMCTGGAGTCAAGTCTTGTCAACCTACTGTTGACTGAAACATCTAGTCATGTTAATAAAATAATGCATGAAGTGTGGGCTTAGAGCTGCCTGTTGCTGGAAATCAGGTTACTGTCCTTATGTCATCTGCCTGTAATAAAACTGCATCAACAAGGATCACCCTGACACCTGAGAATCTCTTTAATAGCTTTTCTTTTTTTAATGTCAAGTTAGAAATAATATGTGTTGGATTCTCATTTTGTTTTTATTATTTAACATTTAATATGTTGTTCACAGGTTTATGAAATAAACTTGGGCACTCTTTAGAGGGGGAAAAACCCAATTTAAACATAAGTGCTGACTTAGGTTAAAATAGAGAATCTGACTTTCTTTACATCTTGGGGTGTGCTTTTAAACCTGGCTCTTTTTACCAAAGAGCACCCAAACTTTCAGCCATAGGAGTAGAAATAGTAGCTTCTCTAAGATGATTGTTTGTTCAAGAACCTCCCCTAAGTCCTGTGTAAGAGGGCTGTCTGTCAAATTCAGGACTCCATATRTCTTTTTCTTTCCCTCCTTTCTTTATTCCCTCTCTATCTACCTATCATCTTCCTAGCTCACCTATCTATTCTGTTACCAACCTATTATCTATCTATCCATCTCTCTATYTATATATCCACCTATCCATCCATCTATCCATTATTATCTTGATGTCCAATCAGCAGTTACTTCTGGTTCTTCTGGGCCTGTGGTGTTTACCCTAAACGATGCAACCTTGGTGATGGTCATGAAGCCAGAATCATAGTTATTCCTGAGCTCTACCTGTCATTTCCACAACTATTTCTGGTCCCTGGTGCAGGCAGCAGAGTGTCTTCTTGGAAAAGCATTAGCCAAGTCTAGAATGACTGGAAAACACACTGCCTGCTTGCACTCTATCCTAGAGGAAAATTACTGTCATATGATGGAGGCCCAGCCCTGTGAGCTTATTTCTTATGGTAGTCCTATAGGTCCTGGAGAGAGCCGAGGAAAAGGCCCACCAACACAAAATAATGACTTTCTTATATATTTGCAAAGTTGGTTGCCTCTGCTACTGCCTCTGAATTCATCCCTAAAAAACAAAATAAGGGGTAGCATATTCATTTTAAAAATAGACTCTAAAATTCCTAATAATTATAACTTAAAATATAAAATGAGAGAAGTTGTTATTTTTGGTTTAAACAAAATTACTACACCAAATCATTTCCCTATCCTCAAAGAACAATTTATATTTAAAGAAAAATAGCTGCTGCTGAGCCAGAAGTGGAACAAAGCCTCASTGTGCACACAGGGTGGTGGTGGGGGCATAATCCCCCAGTGAAAGTGTAAATACATACCAGACTGGCACAGGTCACCACACATGGGGAGGACAAAGGAAATGACTGAAAGACTCTCTGAGTAGACAAGTGCCAGGTTCAGGTGGCATATCATGCAAAATAAGAAGAGAGCTGGTGGCTGCAGTCCAGGGACCAGGGTTCCCTCACAAAGAATTCAGGCTGCCATAAAGAACCCTGTAGCTATGAAATAAAAATTCACTTTTGCCTGAGTAAGACAAAAGCAACTTGGGAACAAATTGATGTTTTTCTTGCCTGGACATTAGCAGGGTCAGCCCTGGTACGTTTATTTTTGACTAGGAAGGACAACAATAATAACCATTTGTCATGATTAYTTCTCAAATTAAATACAGGTCCACTGGTTTCTTAGCTAGAATGAGCCCTGGGATGCTGCAGGCATGTGGGGGAGGGTAATTTTAATGTGCTAATTTGTAAGGAGGTCACAAGAAGAACAATTGACAAGGAAAAGTGAAGAAAGAATTAAGCCATATTTAAATGTGGAAACGGACAAGTCTGGAAAGGGGATGCAAATTGTTTATGACACGTTTGCATTAGTTGAAAAAAAGGGTGAATTTTATAAAGTGTTGTGTTATTTTCCTTCTGGCATCTTAAAAGTGAGCTAACCTACTTATCCCCTACTGTGAAGTGACAGCAGCACTGAAGCAGARGCCTGTTGCCCAAGATATGTGCAATTCTCTATGCCAGAAAGGAGCCCCTGAATTCAGGACAAAACACCCCCACTACTTTCTGGGGGAATGAGGTTCAGTGACTTTAGTTTCCCAAGTAGAAASTCATTGAAAGGAAGCTAAAGGGTATATGTTTTTTCAAACACAAATTTTAAATTAAGAGAGGCAATACATTTGTCAGGCTCTCACTAGGGAATCGTGGTTAGGGCAGATAGCTTCCCAATGTCTCTTAGAGCAGAGTACTGCCTTTCCAGAGATCCCAAGGCTCACCTCCAAATAATCAAGTTCCATTTATTCTTCAGGAAAGAAACATTATAGAAGACAACTCTCAGGACACAGAATCARGTCTCAACAAAAGTGATCTGGATTTTGAGGTGCTCCTTAAGCTGGTAAGTCAGTAATAACATAATGTGAATTTCCCATTTGTTTTACTCCTGACAATGAAGCTTCAGTCTTTATTCTGGTTAGTCCTTTGTTGTCCTTGAACATTTCCCTCATGAAGTAAAGAAAAAAACACTAAGTATAATTGAGGGGAATCCAGCTGGTAAATTTTTCCTCCCCTTAATTAAGCCCTGCACTGAAAAGAAGTTGAGCCAAAAAAAGAAAGCAGAACATCTTTAAAGAAAATCAATCTGTATGTGCCGCCATGATTTTCCAATACTAGAGGTTCTTTTAGTCAGCTTTGCATCACTGTGACCAAAAGACCTGACAAAAATAACTTAGAGGAGGAAAACTTCATTTTGGTTCACAGTTTCAGAAGTTCAGGTCCCTAGTTGGCCTACTCTATAGCTCTTGGTTGGCGGGTGAGGCAGAACATCATGGCAGAAGGTAATGGTAGAGGAAAGCAGCTCAGAACATGGCAACCAAAAGCAGAGATAAGACTCTACTCATCAGGGACAAAATACTAATTCCAAAGGCATGCTCCCAGTGRCCTCCAGCCACACCCTCCCTGCTTAAAGTTACCACCAGTTAATCAATCTACTGATTAGGTCAGAACTCTCATAATCCAATCATTTATCTCTGAACTTTGTGTGTGTGTGTGTGTGTGTGTGTGTGTGTGTGGTGCCGGGGATTGAACCCAGGGCCTTGTGCATGCAAGGCAAGCACTCTACCAACTGAGCTATATCCCCAGTCCCACCTCTGAACATTCTTGCCTTGTCTCACACACAAACTTTTTGGGGATACCTCATATCCAAATCATCACAGATATCATTTAAAGAAATGGATAAATGGAAATAAACAGTTTCTAACTGATCCACCAACTTGTGGTTTGACTTCATATGTTGACTGTAATCAATGTAATGTTTAAGGCTTTGTCCATCTCTACTTGATGTCAATCAAAACATACCTTTTCCCATTTAGTAAAAGAGAGGAGAGAAATTATATACCATCTATGTATATCAAAATGCATAAAGGCATTCTACTGTCATGTATAATTAATTAAAACAAACAAAAAATTCAAATTAAAAAAGAGGATAAGGAAGAGGAGAGTAGGGGGAAGGAGGAGGAGGAGGAAGCTTGTGTGTATATACCCTAGTTACTGTATGCTTAATAAAGCAATGGAAAGTGGAAGCTGAAAGAACAGGGAAACCTACACTGCTTTAGTAGTGAGATGTGGTGAAGCCCAGTGGCATCTGCCAGCTGAGGAAGTGCTCTTGCCCTGTGAGAACAGTACTCCCTCTGGAGAAGAGCAGTTTCCCTTTTTTAGGAGACACCTCCCATCTGCTGCAGCTTCAGCCTCTAGGTGCAACTGAGAAGATTTGTCTGTCAAATTGGACTCCGACAAACCCCATGGTTCCTTGTACTTTCCTTAGTTCATTAAACAGTGTAGTCTCTCAATCTTAAACCACTCCACAGAAACAATTAGGATGCTCATTGTTCTTAGTGTTGGCCCCTTCCTAGGGCTTCTTGAGGGCTGGAGTCATGATGCTTTTCCTATGAGTTCTTAATGCCTTTCTGCAGGAGAGAAAGCTGCAGAGAGACTCAGCAGATAAGCGAACTAGTGCTGCCAGGGAACTCTTACAGAGYGAGAGAAAGTATGTGCAGATGCTGGAAATTGTGCGGGATGTTTATGTGAGACCACTGAGAGCAGCACTGGCATCAAACAGAGCGATTCTGAGTGCTGCAAACATACAGATAATTTTCTCTGATATTCTGCAGATTTTAAATCTCAACAGGTAAATCACATTTTGTCTCAAGAGCTGTACAGAACCTCTTTCTCTGCTCCTCCTGGGTACAATGATCATCTTGCAGAGGGGAGGGCTCCTCAGCACGTCACTCTCTGGGCTGCAATTGGAAGTGATCATTCCTCCCCGGGTCCAGGCTAGGTGCAAAGATAGAGTCCAGTGCTGGGGCTTTCTGTATCAGGAGAATATTTGCATAAAAGACAACCAGAAAGAGAGCTGGGTGGAGTCATTCTTAATCATCAAGTCTTAATAGATCAGGGAGAGAGGAGCAGAAGAACAGGCTCAACATAATAGGGAACTTTACCCAGAAATCCCAAGACAGATCAGTTTAATAACATGTGCTTCATGTATATAACCTGAGAGAGAACAGTCACTCTACCTGTTGTAAAGTAAGAAAATTGAGYATATGCTGCTCTGACAGTGACTCTTTAGGTAACTTGGGACCAGTTGTCCACCCTCTATAGGCCCCTGCTGCCATGAAATGAAGAGGTTGGCTAGGCCTCTGCCAGTTTTCAAGACCTGGGACAGCTGGGAAAGACTACCTTAGAGGCCCAGGGACATATGGTGCTTAGAGTTGGAGCTGTCTAAGCTGTTGTTGTTCCTTGAAGGTGGGACATTCAGGGGCAGCTGTATTGAAGCTAGCCTGGGTTCTGACTCCAGGAATTAGGACAAAGAGGGGGATCTTCCACAGCCTGCCTACTTCCTTACACCCTTACCCCTACTTCTGTTCCATCAAATCTCCATTGCTCTATGTTAAGAAAAAAGTTCTTGATCAAAATCAAGTACCGTCATACAATACTAGGCTGCAAAAGTCTACACTAGCAACAATTAAGTCTGCAAGCTATCATGGGCTTATATTCACAATTACATTTTCCCCATATTGCAGGCAGTTTCTAGATAACCTAAGAGACAGACTACAGGAATGGAGCTCAGCCCACTGTGTGGGGGAAATATTCATAAAGTTTGGAGGCCAGTTGAACACATACACCAATTTCTTCAATAATTACCCTGTTGTTCTGAAAACCATCRAGAAGGTAAATGGTTGACTTGTCATCCATCCTTTGATTAGACCTCCTATGCTTGCACTGAATGCAATCCAAAGGACCAGAGTTAACAAGAAGGGCTGCTTCTCTGCCTTTCTCTCCTAGGTCTTCTCTYCTGTCCTGTGAGCTCTCTGAGGACAGGGACCCTGACAAAGAGCTAGGACAGTGCTTTACACACAGCATTATCTAGGTTGAACTGGACTAATCCTCATACACACTGCCCATTACATCTTACCTGGCTCCCTGTGGCTCAGTTACAGGAGAATGTTCAACAATTAGATAGAAGAAAGACTGTGAGCTTTGATTCTACTCTCCAGCCCAATCCCATATGGCTCGGATGAGTTCAGCTCTTTGGACAAAAGTGCACTTGAATAAGGCAATTTCATAGATCTGATCCATAGATCTGATCTTGAGGACAAGAATTGGAGCAGAGACACATGTTACCAGAAACAAACTGGTGCCAGAATTTTTATAGTTGGTTATGTTTAATAATGAGACCTGCTCCACTAGCATAGTGTATATGTATATATTCAATAATTGTTAGCTATAATTATYGAAATCAGAATTTTTAGAAATTAGCACTGCTGACATCATTTAGACATGTACCTACTGAGTGGAAGGAGGTAAGTTCATGGCTGCATAATGGAGATGAATTAATRCATCTAAAAACATATATTAAATATAGTGGAATGCTTTTTAATATTATGAAAACATGATTAATAGCAGTATTAAAAGTGACTATTATTACTAATCAAGTTCTTACTACAATAAAATAACCTCTACTGCATGACAGGTACTTTATTGATAGAATTATCCCTCTCATCCTAAATTAGGTGTGAGATCCATTTTACAGATGAGAAAGCTAAAGGTGAAAGAAGTTAACTTGACAATGTCGATTTATTCTCTTTCTAATCCAGGCCCATTGAAAAGTCTATTATTATTTGTCTTATTGAGTAAGTTCAATGGCTAGGGCTAGATCTATGATATTATTAAGATACTCTGCTTAATATATTAGGAGACACTGGGGGTGCCTTTAGTACTTGGAATAGATGGAGATGTTGTCCTGCTTGGAGTGTTCCATAGGTCGTCACTCACCAGGTGGAACAGAAGGCTTTGAAGCTGTCTTATACAGAAAGGTTTTGACAATTGTTCCCTTCTAGTGCAGAGAAATGACACCAGCATTCCGAGCTTTCCTGAAGAGGCATGATAAGAGCACTGTTACTAAAATGCTGAGGTGAGTTCCAAGGGAGAGCACAGTTGGGTCCCAAGGACAGGGTACTCCTCAATTTTCAAGCAGAGACCAGGCTCCCTTCTCTGTGCCTCATACAGCCTGCAGGAGCTGCTTTTGTTCCCATCTCGGAGATTTGACGAATACRTGAATCTTCTCTATGCTCTGAGGCTTCATACTGCTGCGGAACACGTTGACCGTGGGGACCTGACTACTGCAATTGGCCAAATCAAAAAATACAAAGGTTATATAGATCAGGTTCGTTGCTGATAAGCATCTGTCTTTCACAAATGTCACAATGCTTTTGTGGCACTCTCAAAGATCCTGAGATATCTTCTCTTCTGTGGTGTTCTTGTAGTCTTTGGTTCTTTCAAATACTAAATAGATATTTGTATTCAATGGTTTTGAACACTAAGGGCATCAATCCTAACCCAAGCAACATGGAATAGAATGTTTTCAGAGAGCTGTACAATGACAATAAAACCTTTACTAAAATGAAAGTTTGAAATTTTTATTTTCTTGATAACAAAAAGAAAGAATGATGTGTATAATCCTTTGATTCTGAMATTACTTTTTAAGGTATTAATTAGTTTTCCTGCTTCAGTAAGTACAGAAATCAATCTGAAAGACATCATCATCGATTGTGCCTACCACATAGGCACATGTGGTAGGCACATAGGAATCTGGGCTGAATATAACCTGTTACTCCTGTTACCATATCAAAGCCCTGAGGATGCTTTCATAAATAGTAATGTTACTTACCTTTTAAAACACTGTTTTATGAGGCTGGGGTTGTGGTTCAGTGATAGAGCACTCACCTAGCATGTGAGGCCCTGGGTTCGATCCTCAGCACCACATAAAAACAAATAAATAAAATAAAGGCATTGTGTCCAACTACATATTAAAATTTGTTTAAAAAATAAAACACTTGTTTTAAAACAGCAGGTACAGAAAATTGAAGTTTTTATTGTAGTAAAGTATCAAACCATGCACCAAGTGCCACAAAAATATTTTAATCCATTTCTTTTAGGATTAAAAATGTCCCAATTTTAGTTGGTCTAAAATCAGTTTGTTTTCTAGATGAAAGAAAACATCAGAATGAAGGAGCAGCTGTCAGACATACAGAGAATCATCTGGGGGTGCCCTGTAAGTATTCTGATGTACTTTCTGTATTCTTTGCTCATGAGTATAATCTCATCTTTGGCAGAAGACATAAAGATCCCACTGTAGCTAATGTATGGAACATCTGCTGCTGCTGGGGCTCACTGCAACCTCTCACATTTCACATCTTCCTTATCTGCAGCCATGCTCCATGAGAAGAGGCACACGTGACCTTGGCCCTATCCCACCACTTTTCTGCAGTCTTGGGTCCTTATTTGTGGTTAGCTGTTACCTCTTGACTATCAACTTGTCCTCCTATCTTCTCTTACCTACTAAGGATCACACCACAAATGTACTTGCCATTCTCTGGTAGTGTAGCCTTTCTTCATTTGACTTGCATTTGTTCTTTGTACAAACTCTTCTTTGAAATTGCCTTCCTTTCCTAGTCTACTGGATAAATGCTATTCATCCTTTAAAAACCAGGATCAATCATTCTCTTCTCCATGCAGTTTCCCTAACATTTCCAGCTGTGAGCTGTTTCCTTCTTTCACAGCCCTGGACCATCCCTGACACATGTTACCGAGACCCTCTTTTTATACAGCTGGGAGAGCCACCATGTGTGAACTGATTCACTTGTCTTCCCGTGTCTGGCATTCAGTAGGAGCTCCCTATGTGAATTATGTTGAAGTATCAGTGGATTGAAGAAATGATTTTTATTTGGTCAAACAGGGGGAGCTAGATAGAGTTTTTGTCATTATTTCAATCTGCATGGAAAGAAAAGAGTTGGTTGAACAGCAAAAGCCCAAATTTTTGCAAGTCAGAGAGTCTCTAGAACTTCATCTCTGACTCACTGTACATACCAAGATATTATTCTCATGATCAAGAGATCAATACAAAGGCCTGAAATCTTAATTTGTAGCATTTCATTTGCCTCCTATTCTTTTCTTTTTTTAAAAGATATTTTAAAGATGGACACAATATCTTTATTTTATTTATTTTTATGTGGTGTTGAGGATTGAACCCAGTTCCTCAAGCATGTGAGGCAAATGATCTACCACTAATTTCCTTTTAATCTCCCTCCTTCACTTTGTTTTTGATACTATAAAATTGTTTACAAAAATAATTTTGGTAGTTTTTTTTTGTTTTGGTTTTTTTTAGGTGTAGATGGACACAACAAAATGCCTTTATTTTTATGTGGTGCTGAGGATCGAACCCGGGTCCCGCCTATGCTAGGCAAGCACTCTACCGATGAGCCACAATCCCAGCCCAATTTTGGTAGTTTGAAAACTTTGACAACATCCCCAAATAAGTTTTTATTGTCAATTGTGGTCTTTCTAAGGAAAGCCTGTTTTATAAACAATGAAAATATTCACTTTTTCAAAACTGAACCAAGTTCTAGTCAACACTTCATGTTCTGGTATATAAAATGGTTCTGCAGTGATGATATTTGTTTTAAAATGTTTATACATGCTTCTAATTTTTTGACTTTATAGACTCTATTTGAAATAAACAGATACCTGATTAGGGTCCAAGATGTAGTCCAACTCCACTGCTGTGATGAGGAGATAAGTTTCTCTTTAAGGTAAGCAGCAGTTAATTCCCCTAAGGCTGTGAAGACCATAAGTGCTGGTGGCTGTTATTCATTTCRCATCTGTGGCCTTCAGTTACTGTGCCTGACATACTATAGGTGTGTGATAAATCTTTGCATTGAACAAAGAAGCTACATACACCCCCTCTGATGTAGTGCAAGGTACTCTGTTACCTTGCATAAGTTCTATGCAGTTCTTGGACAGATGGGAGAAAATAAATTGTCTCTACCAAGACCACAAACTCCATAGAAGCAGAACTTCTAGAGGTTGGTTACTTTCCTATTGAGAGAAGATTCAAGTATTATGGATTGTGCACCAATCATCTGCTCAACCATACAAAAGAGGGGAACATCKTATTATCCTCAGATAGTTGTTGAGGCTGGTATTAAAAATGACTTCATCTAGCAGAGTGCAGTGGCACACACCTGTGATCCCAGTGGCTTGAGGAAGGAGGATCTCGAGTTCAAAGCCAGCCTTAGCAACTTAGCGAGACTATAGGCAATTCAGTGAGACCCTATCTCTAAATAAAATACAAAAAAGGGCTAGGGATGTGGCTCAGTGGTTGAGTGCCCAGGGGTTCAATCCCTAGTACCAAAATAACAACAACAACAACAACAACTTCACCACATGTGGTTTGCACAGTGCTCAGAGTAGTGCAAGAATGCCAATGTCCATAAATTAGTGTTCCATTCCTCCTTTAGAACAAGATGGACAAGTTCTTTCCTGTAAAGGTTCAGAGAGTAAATATTTAGGATTTGCTGGCCAAATGATCTCTGTGGCAATGACCTACCTTTGTCATTGTTGCAAAAAACCCTAACATAAATGATATAATACAAAAAATGTATGCTATTCATAAACAATATATAAATGGATATGTATGGCTTTGTTCCAATAAATCGTTATTTACAAAAACAGGTAGTGGTCTATAGTTTGTTTATCTCTGCTTTAGAAAACTATCAAACTGAGCTCAGTGGTAGAGTGCTTGCCTAGCATGTGTGAGGCACTGGGTTGGATTCTCAGCACCACATATAARTAAATAAATTAAAGGTCCATTGATAACTAAAAATATATTTAAAAAACYATTTTCCAGTATTAATAGCAAAGATAATGACCTAGCACATAATTAAGCAGAACTTCTCAAGGATGGTCACTTTTCTATTGAAAGAAGACCCMAGTGACCAAATGATCCCATTGCAATAAAGGTAAAAAACTGATTTCTTTCAATGAATATTTCAGCAACAATTTTCCAAAAGCATACAGCCCTGGTGTAGATGGAAGAAATATTTACCTCTATTTCCACCTTGAGCAGATCATTAGTGAAAATCAAATTATACAGTAGTGTCTCATTATCACAGTATTTTTGTTTCTTTTGTGCTGTTTTTGGCTAGTGACACTAGCAAAGAGCTACAATGATAGAAACTAGAGCCTAAAGCAGCAATTCTAAACTGCTGTGGTAGGACACATGCCAGGAATTGTTCCAGTTTGGGTTATTATTTGACCTTCATGTGTTCCTTCTTGAGCACTTCCTTTCCAAGTTTCTGTATTGTTTTCCTTCTATCTGCAGAACCTCCTTTARCATTTCTTGCAAAGCAGGTCTACTGGCAATTAATTGCCTCAATTTTGGTTTGAGAAATTCTTACTTCTACTTCATGTTTGAAGGAAAATTTTGCAGGTTATGTAATTCTAGGTTGGAGATTTTTTTTTATACTTATTTCACTCCATTCACTTCATGATGGAATAATTCCAAAGAGAAGTATAAAGTAATCATTATCCTTGTTCCTCTATAAATAGGTGTTTTGTTGTTCTTTGGATTCTTTCAAGGTTTTCTCTTTGTTTTATGAAGTTAAGAGTGTATTATATGTAGATATAGATTTTTTGGTATTTATTCTGCTTAGTATTCTCTGAGCTTCCTGGGCTTGTGTTTTGCTGTCAATAATTTTGGAAATTTCAGCCATTATTACTCCAAATATTTCTTGTTCCATTCTCATCTGCATTTACTATTCCCATTACACACATGTGTTTTGAAATGTACTCATTACTTGGATATTCTGTTCCTTTCTTCTCCAATCTGTTTTTTTTTTCTTTTTCCGTTTGGAATGTTTCTATTGACATATCTTCAAATATACTAATTCTTAACTCATCTGTGTCCAGTCTACTGATGAGCCCACTAAAGAAAGGCATTCTTCATTTATGATTTTATTTTTAATATTTCTTTTTAACTTTATTTTAAAATTTTCTGTTTACATGACCCCTCTCTTCTTCCATGTGGTCTACTTCTCCTATTAGATCCCTTAATATATTAATCATAGTTTAAAAATTTCAATATCTCTACCTTCTCTGAGCCTAGTTCTGATACTTGGCCTTTTTTCWATCTGTTTTTGGCCTCTTAGGATGCCTTATAATGTTTTGTTAAAGGACAGACACAAAGTATCAGCAAAAGGAACTGGGCTAAATAGGCCTTTTTAGTGTGAGGTTTTAGTTTATTTGGCGAGGAGGTAGGCTGTGTTTACTGGGTTGAGGTCAGAGTTTGCAATTTTCCCTAGTGTCCTTGTTTTGGTCTCTCCTATTGTTTTTGGATTTCCTGGAAGATCTAAATAGGGTCTGACCCTTGCGGTTCTGTCAGCTGTATTATAGAGGGTACTATTGATATGGTAGTAAAGTGAGGGAAGGGGAAGCATTCTGCACTTCTATGACCAGTGTTCAGTCTTTTAATGAGCCTATTGCCTGAGATGTGACCTTCGAAAGTGCTTCTCAGCATTTTTTCAACACTAAGATGAGGCGTGAAGGATAGAGAGGGCTGGAGTTAGATACTCTCCTTTTCCTGCAATGGTTAGATTTTGGTAAAACCCAAGTTAGTTAAGTTCTGTTAAAAGTTCTCCTTGGGGGCAGGCTTGGTTAAGGAGACCAGAACTCTCTGGACATATTTCAAAATGGCTACTTTTCATCTGCTCTGGGGAAGAATAAGGGGATTTTTCTCTGTCCTTCATCATAAGAACCTGTGGGTAAAACTCAGACCAGTGTGGGAACCCCTGATGTTTTCTCCCTCTCTTTTCTCTTCACACTCAATCTCCTRTAGTTAGTCGATGAGCCTTTAAGTGTTTGATACTGGCTCTACCGGTAGTTGGTTTAAGATTGTATTGGTCTATCCAGCTTTTGGGGTGGTGGTTAACTCTGTGACCTCAGTTCTCTGGTAGATCTGAGAAGAGTTRTCAATTCTGAGGGTTTTTTCCCATTTATTTTTTGTTATGAGGTTAGGAAAGACAACTTCCAAGCCCTTTACATGTCATTTGGAAACTGGAAGTCTTGATTACTAGAATTTAGACTTGTCTTGGACAAGAGATGAGAGTACATTTAAGGAGATAAAGATAATACTAAATTATTTTACACTCTGGTGCATTTATATTCAAGTAGGCACTTTTTCTGATTACATTTATACTATTTTCCAATAAACATGTAACTTCACATTAACATTTGAAATTAAATAACTGCAAACAGGCTTATATTCTAAAATATTGCACAATATTTGGCCTGCAACCTTGTTTTCTGTCATTTTAGAAAATCACATAAAGATAAAAAGAATTGCCATTCCCATGATTTCCATCAGAGATTTTTACTTAAAGCAAATACATTATGCTTATAGGTATAACACTGACAGGAATATAAGGTTTTATAGTTTACCATGTATTTAACTATTCTACTTGATAAATTCATTACAATCTCTTGGTGAGGCAGGTAGGACAGGATCCTGGAGAATCCAACTTYAATAAGCTGCCTGAGGTCACAGAACTATTAAAGGCTGGTCAGGAATTCACAACCTAGTCTCTCAATGCACAGGCTGTCTCCACAGATCATAGGCAGGTGGAAAGATGAACTGAGCCTTCCTCATAATAAACTTACCAACGTAGCAGCAAGTACTAAACAAATAATTGACACTGAAAGAATGGGTAAATGTTTGCATTCTAAACAAAAAACTTCCTCTGGAATAGAGATGGAAGTCATAGTCATATGAAGCGCTAGGAATTTCAGAAGATATTTTTTCCATTATGGACATAAACTAGTTTTAGATTATATTTAGCTTTTATAGTGTATTATGCATCTTGGAACTCTTTTTCTTCAGAACTTCTTTTCTTCAGAACTTTTTTCTTCAGAAACGCCAATCTTTATATATGTGATTTTAAGTTTGCTAATCTTTTTAAGTGTGGTTATTTACCAGGGCAACTATGCATTGGAGAAAGGGAAACACCCAGACTTCTTGCAGACATTAGACTCTTGGTTCTGAAGAGTCCTACTCTAGGGACCCAAGAGCTATTGTGATCCCCCAGTCGGTGGTACAGATGCTAGATGTCAACTGYTCTGCTCAGATCAGCTCAGGGTAGAAGCTGTTGTCCATTCCTGCTAAAGCTTTCATCCTGAAAATTTCTTTTAAAGTTTTATGTATTATAGGAGTTAGGTACTTTATGTCTTCCAGTGTGGTCTAGTTAATGCAATAATAACACAGCACTTCTAGAATGGAGTTAAGAATTTACACTAGAGTAACTGTGTTCCATTTTCCTGAGTCATTCATTATTTATAGATGAGCAAAGAAATCCTGTCAAAATTCAGGGAAAAAGCAAATCCCTTAAACTTGGAGTTGATTCTGAGTGTAAGCATTGGTAGCATTCTGAAACATTCCATAGGATCCATAATTTCCACTCTATTTGCTCCATTAGGTTGATATTAAAGGTCAAATTATTTGCTTTTGCATATTTAAAAGTTATTAAAACTTTTAAAAAACCTTTTGGTGCTTTTTGTCGATGGATAAAAATTGTTGGAGAGTTTGAGGGGCTTAATTTAGTAAATGGCTCTTGAAAACCTTTTTCTACATTAAAATTTTATATATATTTAAATATGTATAAAACTTTGTATGGGGTACTGGGATTGAACACAGGGTCTCATGCAAAAGGGCTTTTCCACTGAGCCTCATCCCTAGCCTTTTTTTTTTTTATCTGTTATTATGAGACAGGGTTTTGCTAGATTGCCTAGGCTGGCCTGAAACGTGATTCTTCTTGCCTCAGCCTCCTGAGTGGCTGGGATAACCAAAGACAGAAAGAAAAAGTTTGAAAGGAATAGCTGGCTCAAGGAGCTGGAATACTACTGTTTCTGTCTATCCACACACCCACAAACCTCATACTTCCTTAATACTGTACAAATAGCTGAAACCTATAGTATTCCCTGGAATTTTAACTCCTGGATGTAGTCCTTTGCTCAGCTCTTACATATGGTTATAATTAATAAATGACTTAAGTGCCTTACTTCTCAAACTGTGGCTGGCCTGTAGGTCAGCAGAATCTGCAACAAAAGGGAGCTTACTAGAAATTTGGTCTTATGCAGGTGTCATGGAGAACCTGGAATTCTTTGATGCAAGTACAGAACTCATTTGACTAATCTATCTTGGGACTAATCCATACTCTTGGGATTCCTATCTGATAGAAATTAACAGCAAATGTAAGGAATTTGTTTATGTGAAAGGAACTAGGAATTAGTTGGTGGCAAGGGGGAAGAGAACCAAAGCTTCTAAACAAGATAAAATGTCCATCTGTAGTGGAAATAWATAAGTCCATTCATACCATTAAGTACTATTTAGCTATTAAAAAAGAATGAATTAAAACTAAGCAGTTAGATCAAAATGATTTTCATTGCTGAGAAAAGCAGAAAAGAAAAAAAAAGTGGGGAATAATATTGGCATTTTTGTAAAATAATGGAAATTTCCCTGTAAATAGATGTGTGTATACATGTGTGATTACTTGAGCAATACAGAGAAATTGAAGGATATGCATTGGGTTGGAAAGTTGGGTCACATGAGTAGAGGGAGGAGTGAGCCAGCACAATGGAAAAAGTGAGGAGAAAAAGAATATTTGTACATTAAATAAGAACCAACTGCAAGACTGGTGTCACTTAAAAATTTCTATAAAAATGTATGCTCTACATGGACAATTTAGGAATTAATACTGAAGATAAAGAATGAGACTTCCCTTGAATAAGCATACACAAATTGACTTCCTTCATTAAATTCCCAAGGGTTGCTTGACAGTCATAAAATAATTATATTCTCTATTAAAACATTTAGGTTTTGGGCTAGGTCGTGGCTCAGTGGTAGAGTGTTTGCCTTGCATGTGTGAGGTAGTGGGTTTGAATCTCAACACCACATAAAAATATTGTGTCCATTTACAATTAAAAAAATATATTTTAAAACCCCAAACATTTAGCTTTCTTCATGTAGCCATTCCTGAATGGGAGGGGCATGGGAGCTATGGAGAGTGGTTTGGGTCCCTGAGCTCCTCTCAAGTATGATGCTCTTGTTAGTGTACTCTCACAGGATAACCCACACTAGAGCACAGTGAAACCCACCAATGAACTGCTCCAACAACAGAAATCAAAGAGCATAACTGGGGGATGGTGTTGTGGCTCAGAGGTACAATTTTTGCCTAGCATGGGTGAGACACTGGGTTCAATCCTCAGCACCACATAAAAATAAATAAAGGTATTGTGTCCACCTACAATTAAAAAAAATTTAAAAAGTATAACTGGTTAAGGACACCAAATTTTGCTTCTTGATAAACATGCCTACAGCTGACCATGTTAGTAACCCCAGTAAAAATGAAGAACTATCTTTTACCTTGCATGCTGATCAATTTTTCTCCAATCAAAAAGAAAAACTTACTTCTACCTAGTATTTAAATGTTTCTTTCCCCTCTACTTAAAGACACCTTGTGCCACACTCATGTTTCCCTAAGAGACAAAACAAAAACTTATTTCTCTCACATTGCCCAAATATGCCTGGCACAAAATACTAAACAAGTTTAAAAAGAGAATCATAAGAAGAAGATAATGCCAAGTGAAGTTAGCCAATCCCAAAAAATCAAATGCCGAATGTTTTCTGATATAAGGAGGCTGATTCATAGCAGGGTTTGGGAGGGGGAGCATGGGAGGATTAGATGAACTCTAGATAGGGCAAAGGGGTGGGACAGGAAGGGAGGGGGCATGAGGGTAAAAAAGATGGTGGAATGAGATGGACATCATTACTCTAAGTACATGTATGAAGTCACGAATGGTGTGAATATACTTTACATACAACCAAAGATATGAAAAATTGTGTTCTATATGTGTAATATGAATTATAATGCATTCTGCTGTCATAACAAATTAGAATAAAAAATTTAAAAAACTACATGCTTTGTAAAATGAAGAAAATAAAAGGAGCTATAATTTCAAAACAAAACAAAGAACCATAATATGATTCTTCGCAAAGGAGCGAAAATTCAATGTTTATTTTTCCCATACTGATTATGAACGACTCCATCCAGTAACTTGATGGTTCCCAATATTGGTCTGAGAGAGACAGTGGGAAATAATCACATCAGGAGGAAAATTTTACTGTGAACGTGATGTGCACTTGAAAAGTCTGGAGTGGGGTCAAAGTCTTATCTAGGACTTATTAAAGAGGCTTAACTGTTTAACAAAGCACATATATGCATATATGAAAACTCTCCCCATCTCCATTTTAACACAGGCTCTATGAACAAATTCGTGATCTCAGCTTCTTCCTCTTSAATGATGCACTGCTTGTTTCTAGCCGGGGCATATCTCACACTCCATTTGAAAGGACTTCAAAAACAACCTACCAGTTCATTGCATCAGTGGCCCTTCACAGGTTACTGATAGAAGATATTCCAGATTCCAAGTGTATGTATTTATTCCTTTAAGAGCAAATATCTTTATAAAGTTCATCAACTATTAAAACAGAAAAGGACTGTTTTCCTTTTAGCAGGAAAAAGATTGGAGTTAGTTACAATTTGCTAGCTTGCAAATAATTCCCTAAACATTAGAATTTTGTTAAACTTTCATCTATCTCTAAAATAGCAAAAAAAAAAAAAAAAAAAAAAAAGGGAATGTTGGCATTATCAGACAAGTCCCCTAGATACCAGGAACAGAGCTTTCAAAATCACAAAGAGAGGCAAGACCCCACATCATCCTGAATTCTTTTGAGAGTTTTGAGTTCAGAGCTAGAGTTCTTAACCACTATGCTGTAATGTCTGAAGACGTTAGAGACTTAAAATACTACTTTAGATTTTCCTCTATTACTTCTTTATTCTATTAGGACTACATAGCTATTACAAACTTGTATTGTACCTTTTCTTCCTAAAATTCCCATTGAAGTTGGGAGTTTTTCTATAAAGGAATTAACAAAATTGCATAGGCTGCTTAGTAATTTGAATATTTTATCTATACTAATTCCAGTGGAAATCACAAAAAAGAAATCTTACTTAAMCTGTTATGCCTACTTTCAGTTATCATCCTGCACTCTACTTCTCAAGCTTAAAAGGACCAATCTCTTTCCTATACTTATTAGGCCAATTTAAATGTAACCCTCCCATTCCAATATTTTCCAATGAATGTAAAGAGAGGAGTTAATGTTAAAGCAGGAATCAAGATCTTAGAGAAGAAATTAACCTGAATAAAAAAAACTATTTCTCAATAGCTTCAGCCCCATTCTAAATCTGAGCCTTAGGGAAAAAAGAATGCCAAGTGTAGGAATAAATATTTCTACCTAGAAAGTATCTGAAGGTAAAAAGGGTTAGCTACCCATAATCATAGTGCATGGTTACTGTATGAAACATGTTTCTTTTCTTCAGTTCATTTCCTTTCATGATAATCAGCTACACTCTGTGACACTGTTATGTAACCTAACAGTGGGCAGGCACTGAATTAAGTACAGTACCTGGCTTTGTCACTGGCACCTCATAACAAAGTTGTCTAGGTCTAGCTCTCAGCATGTCTAATTAGTATTAGTAAAGATCTTTATCAATTCTAGTTCTTTATGGAGTGACTGAGATTAAGGAATTAAAGAATACCACATCATCTACCATTTAGTCTTTCAAATAATTGCTAATTATAAAGATTATTTTAGATTATGACATATTTAATCATTAATTTCAGGAAGTTATATTCTAAACTAGGCTTGTGTTTGTGTTGAACCCTTAATTTTAGGTTTCAAAGAATTCTTAAAGATGACTTGGTCCTTGAAATTTAAAACATTTTCTCTTTTTGTTACTGTAAAGAATAATTTGTGTACCTCAAATGCTTTCACAGATGTCAAGAATGCATTTATTCTTCAAGGTCCAAAATGTGAATGGATTTGTGCTACTGAGGTGGAGGATGACAAATTCCTATGGTTGTCAGTACTCCAAAATGCGATCAAAAGCAGTATGGACAAGTGAGACTGGACTTGGAAGAAAACATCAGGGGTGCCAATTCTCCCTGGCAAAGACGGACAATGTTGTTCTTTTGTTCCAGGGTATCAGTAAGAAGCAGAATGATTATCTGTTGTGGATGATGAGAAGATGAGAACCACAAGGTTCCTTCCAACTTTTGAACTTCATTATCTATAATAAAGTTTTGTGAGGCTGGGGATAGCTTAGAGTGCTTGCTTCTCATGCACAAGGTCTGGATTCAATCCCCAGTACCACCACCCCCACAAAAAAAAAAWAAAATAGGCTTTTATAACACAGTCATGTATAACATAAGAACAATCAGTCTAAAATTTTGAACCATTTCTTTTGGTAGTTATTTTTCCTGGACATTATTTAAAATAATTTGACTGATATAATGAGTCCTAAGAGAGCAAGCATATTGTGCAAAGTTTTTTTTAATCATCTAAAGAAAAAACACTAGAATGAAAAGTTTAAATGACCATTCTAAAAAGCTTAATTTGTTGATTTGCAATCTTTAAAATTTTCATAGAACAATTACTGATTAAAAATACATAAGAAATATAAGTGACAACTTTCTAAAACACTTGTCAATTACATCCTTAATATGAATGTAATCCTCTAGCAAACATAAAAAAGTACCATTACAAAGCACTAGATTTTTTTGTATTTAGTTTTTTTTTGCTGCAAAACTTAGAATATCCAAATAAGAAGGTTTAAAAATACTGTTGATATTGTCAAATTAGAAGGCCACTGAAAAACAAGCCATTTTTAAGAAACAAAAATAGATGGAAACCTAGTGAAACTGCCTGTAATGGGACTTAGCTTAATAAAAACAAATAAATTAAGACAGCTCTGTTTAAAACAAAGAAACAGCAAAATAGAAGTTTCCTGGGCCTTTAAAGCCTTTATTAGCATGTTTAGCTAATAAAGGTTATAACTTGGGGCCACCTGGAAACTTTAGCTGATGTATACAGTAGTAATATTTATGTCTACTTAATGATAAATGAAAGTTATATAATCTTGGAAGCTTTAGTTGCCAAATTCCTTTTTGCTTGATAAAGTAATAAAATTTACTAGTATAGTTTAGGATTTTTATCCTGGGTTAAACAATGAAACTAATTCCTTCTAATTCTTAAAATTTAAAATTCTTATTAAAAATATACAAAAGTTAAAATACGTATGTACTGTTTTGTTAGTGTGAAATCACACTTCTGATTCWATTATGATATAGCCCTGTAGTTTAACATCTATGATCCGACAGAATAAAGAGAATATCTGTTGTTAGCAAGAATGCAAATTTACACATATGATCCCAATATATGATATAAAACAAATTGTAAGATAGTATATTATCCCAAATAGGGTATACTCCAGAAACCTGTAATAGGAAAAACCTATCTATATGGCAAAAAGAACAAGTGACAAGATAGTGAAAGGTAAACAAGAAATCTTAAGGAATTTCCATTTCTTCTATAACTGATATCCTTGGAAATTTAGAAGCACATTAATTTAAAATAATCTCAGTAATAACTTCTAAAAAAGTTGACAGTATCAATCATGTAAAATAGACACGGCGATGTTTCTGAATGGGCAGTATTTATGGATTGGTTTCAGAGTTTTCCTTTACCTTGAAGGGACAATTTAAAAGGCCCATCTTCATAGAAAGCTCATAAGTTTCTATGATTGCTGCTGAAAGATTTTAAGTCTCTGATGAACTGGTCAAAATATGACAAGGAAAACTATTACCTGACCCCCAAACTGATATGTAAACATTGCTTGAAGAATCACCTGGGTATTTAAGAAAGTAGAATATTGCAGATAGAAGGACTCCRCTCAGTAAATTAGCTTCTGGTAAAAACTATCTTATCCAACATAGTTCTTTGAAGTAAAAATTAAATAGAAAACTCATTTTAAAGGTTTTTTTTTTTAACAGAATATAGATGTTTTATATAAAATATTAAACCTAAAAGAATAAATCAAGTTTATTTTTGTTTTCCTTATTGCAAAGGTTTCTGAGTATTTGCTTGAGCCCATACTGTCAATCAAATCTGTATGTGGTTTTGCCATATAAATATGATGGACCAATATTATATTTTCCTGATGCTGCAAAAGAGCAGAGGTGGGATATGCCAACAAACACAATATATCCTCCAGAAAAAGTCATCCTGACCCTTTTATTGTTGAAATTAAAAAAAAAAAAAAGAGATACTTAAATACAACGGTGAACATATAGGGCAAAACAGAATCATAAAATTTAATTTTGAATTAAGCAGTGAGCTGAATATTTGGGCCTCCAAATTGGCTTTGAACCCAAAACCGCTTAAAAATGGGGTATGTTCACAGTTAACGGCAATTGGCTTATAGGTGAGAGAATGGTCGAAGTTGTTCCAGTTGAACTTCCAGGGAAATTCTCTCCTCAAGAACATCCTGAAAAAGACATCAAGTCCAACTTATGTTCAAAAATATATAAAAACAAAGACACATTTAACAACAACTCTGAAAACAATTTGCTTTTGTCAAGGAGACTAATGGACAACTATTCATATTTTGAAAGTATACATCACTTTAGAAAGGTAGTTTCTTCATACATTGAAAATATGATCATAGTAACTTAAATCTTTCTTACTATGTAAATCAGATAATAAAATGTTTTTAAGCCAATTATAAGGAAAGTTAACATTTGCAAAGAATGGGTATTTCTATAAAAATTTTATATAAAGCYAGCCTCCTGAATAAACTATAGATGAATTAGTTAACACAGATTATTTTCCCTAGTGATGTCATTCAGTTATAGCAACTTCTGGATCCCATTTTGAGTTTTGGTCCTCAAAGGAAAAATTCATTTTGCACCCAGATTTTTTAATTACTGTKGATTCTGAGGAGTCTTTTCAAGTAGCCACAAATTCTAATTTTTTCTTCTTCTCTGGAACCTTAGGTAGAATTCTCAGGTTCCATCCCAAACCTACTAAATCAGAATTTGCATTTTAATACAACCCTAGATTATTTATATATACATTAAAGTTTATAAACCACTGGTTTATAAGACATGAGGGCTTAATAATGTGAGTGAACAATAAGTGATTCTGAGTATAATTATTTTATTCATTCAAATAAATCATAGTGCATAATGGGAAAAACCCCTCATTCATCTCAAGTATTGGATAACAGTGGAACACATTATATGGAAATACCATTTTTATTTGAGGTCTGTCTTTTCTATTTCTACATGTAAGATAATCTAAATTTTTTCCACCCCTTGTCATCTTTGAGTTYCTTTAATATAATCTGAGTTGTTTTTGGTAAAAAGATAAACTAACAGCAGTCAAATCATCTCAGAATTGAGTTTCAAAAATTTCTTTTACTACTAAAAAATCCAATGGCTAATACAACATTTTAGATATACATTTCTCTTGATATGAGGGAGATTTCATGCAAGCATAAAACCTATTGGATTCTCTTTAACTTCCTCCACAACTCTGGGCCTATGGAAATTCCCAAATAATCAATCACAAACTATATTACCTTTAATTGTTGTTGCAATTCACTATTCAATCTGGCCAAAACTGTGTTGGTTTCCTTATTGCRTCTAATTGATGCCTGAATAGCTTTCTTATCTTTTCCAATGGATCTGAGGAAGTAAAGAGGACAAAAACCAAAACCTTTATTTCTTTAACCTGAATTCATTGTTCCCTGATCTATTTTTGAGCATGGAAAGAACAGGGAACATCTTTTTCCTTATTAACACAGCTCAAAACCTTACTTAGTCAGTTTCAATGGTCAACTAAAAACATATAAGCTTCAGAAGCTTTTGTTTATTTTTGCTATTGTTTTAATTACTGAAAATACCAAGATTTTTTTTTTCTGTTTTCCATCTTTTTCCTTAGCATCATACTGGTGATTGAATCCAGGGTGTGCTCTCCCACTGAATCACATTTCCACCCCCCACCTTTAAATATTTTTTTAGTCGTCTATGAACTTTCATTTTATTTATTTATCTATTTATTTGTGTGGTACTGAGAATCAAACCTAGTGCCTCCACATACTAGGAAAGTGCTCTACCACTGAGCCACAACTCTAGCCCTTTCGACTTTTGTTTTTAAAAATAGGGTCTTGTTACAAAACGGCTACCCCTGAACTTGTGATCCTTGGCCTCCCAAGTAGCTGGGATTACAGGTATGAGCCACTGCACTCGGCAAGAATCCCAAGTTTAAAGTTAAACAGTCTAGGGCAGGCCCCGGCAAACTTTTTCTGTAAACAGACTTATTTTAGGCTTTAAGGGCATATAGTTTCTGTTGTATACTCTATTTTTCCCCCTTTTCCCTTCTATTCTCTTTTTACAAGGATATAAAAACCACTCTTAATTCATGGGTTATAMAAAAATAGGCCATGGTCTGAATTTGCCACCTGAGTTTCAGTCTGCCAAACCCTGATCTAAAACAACCACAATTAAAWTATTAGTTTCATTCTACATTATCGTTTTTAAAAAACTCCCACCCCAGAGTTTAAAATAGGGTGTTAAAATGGAATTGGAATTGAATTTAATAATAATAATGGGGGAAAAACGTGGGAAGAATAGTCTACTTACTCAGGAGTGAAAAACTAAAAACTGAGAATTAGTCTGACCATTAATTTCTTTCAGTTTGGTGTTTTATTATTGTGCTTTTTGTTCTTAGTAATTAAATTTTTAGGAATAATGCTGATTACCTGGGAATAGAAGGTTGTGATGCAAGAACAGCAGCCAAGACACCTGTCTTTTGTGTGTGTTCATCGACATCTGGCCTTAATTCATCTTCTGATTTTAATCTTCTTCGAACAGGTTTAGGTGGTGGAGCAAGCGGTGTTGTGCCTTTGCTCTGGAAGACAAGAAATCCACTAATAATGGATATTTCCTGAAGGCGTTCATGGTTAGCTAGCACTTTGCCAACCCTGTTTGCTTTCTTTAAGCTACTTGCTCTTAAAACAATTAAAAGTTGGCTGTCCTACTTTAAAATAATTCATCTAATTGTCAGCAGCTAACTTAAAGTGCAACAGGAAAGGATGCTTCTAGTTGATCCCACAATCAYGAATATATCTACAATAACAATTTTTTTTAAATAGAGTAAAATAAGCTCCTTGGAGTCCAAATCTGATAAAAGACTGTAAAAGTCAGTTTTAACATAAATATGATACATATTCAACATATACCAATTCAATAAAGAAAATCTCCAAAAATATTCATTTTCAACATAGGAAATCCTATTCAAAAATACTAAAATATATCATCTTTAAGAATAAAATAATTTATYATGAACATGCAGAAGGCTACATAATTATTAAAAACCACTAAAATGCACAGTAATTATAACTCTTGAAAATGAGTGGACACTTTTTTGGGGATTRTGAATCTGCCTCCAATAGAATCAATTAACACTAGAGTATTTCAATGTTTAGTATAACTTGATTAAGTAAATAAATAAAWACAAGAGTCAACTGTCATCTCTTAAGTGCTTTTTAAAATTTGTTGTGATAAATTGACAAAAAATAAAATTATTTAAAAATATCACAGAAGTACTAACATAGTAAAAAATTAAGTGTCCAAAAAGCAGAATTTAAGCATTTTATAGCAAAACATCCTGTTTTAAATAACTTGGACATATAYGAATAATAAAAGGAAAAAAAAAGTTACCAAAATTGTTCTCTCGAGCGGAATGAATGAATTTACAATTTGAAATGCACAAGGGAGAAGAATTTACAAGAGGAATGGAGAAAGATATTAGAAAGCAAATATAATAAAATATTAATGATATAATCAACATGGGGTTTATTGATAAACAATGTAAATTTCTTTCTCTATAATACTTTTTGCATACCACATTGGCAGGAATACTAGCAGCTGTCTTTTCTTCTATTTTACTATCCGTTTTGGCAACTCGAAGAGAACTTGCAGGATCAGAAGCTTTTTCAACCTAGAGATGAACACATTACCATTTTAACAATATATAATATATAATTATGCACAAATATAGAATATGTAACAAATCAGAGTAAAACTTCAAGAAAATATTTTGATAAGAAAACTGAGAGCTCAGAGATGAGAAGGAACTTGGAAATACCACATTAAATGTCCTTTCTCTAGTACTAAAAGGAAGCAAAGGGGAAAGGTCAACATCCATGAAGGAGGGAAGGGTGAATAAGGATGCAGCCATTGTACTGAACATCTAGGTGGTGGCTGGAAAGTTCTTCGGTTGGGGAGGGAATTCACCCACCCAGGGATGTGAGTACCAGTACTCTGACACATCTGCACTTGCCCTCAGACCTGCTCCTGTCTTCCTCTGTGCAGCCCTTTCACCTAATGGCCAGGCACAAAGTTATATGTTGGAATTAGTGACCAGTAGGAAATTTTCCWCAGATAAAATCTATAGGAAACCTTTATCTAAGCCATGCTAGTCAAATAAACATGGCTTTTGAATCTGACAGAAAGGCTCAACATGGGTTAAAACAACAATTAGGATAGAGATTTCAGAATTCTTCTAGTCCCTCCTACTTCATATTTATACCTATTGGTTTGAGACATTCCTAGTAATGCTCCTTGCCACTAGAACTATAACAGTCTCCTAGAATGCAATCTGCGAAGATCACATTTTGGCATTATATGGTTTGTAAGTTTGCCTAACTAAGGTGACTGGGTATATGTTATAGTAACCATGGCCTCTTCTCTCTTGKAAATCTTCACTAAATCATACAATCAGATGCTCAGTATTGAACCTCCAGAGAAATGTTTCATCCAGGACCAGCTAGTTGTGTTTGTGTCTTTTCATACCATACCGGATTCAGATTCTTAGCATTATACTGCAACAAGCAGGTATTAAGAGGGCAAGAAAAAAGTTGAGAAACACTGACCCAGTGAATATGAATCCTCCCAAAGAGGCAGCAGCACATATTTTACTCAATGGTGTGCCATCTACTATTTGCCTTATCAGGAGTTCTTGTTCACAGAGAGGCTTTAAGAGAATGACACGGGAAGAGAATCCATGAATTAGGTAAGCCTTTGAAAACTGACCGGCAAGACTTCTGAATGTTTCTCAGCTTYATCATCTTGTTCTTCATTTACATTTGATGCAGCAAATACTTCAAATTGGCTGAAATCTGCAAAATTTGGTTGCTCTGGTATCTGCTGAGGTGAGGTACTAGTGTGAGTCATTAGGCCATCGGCATCCACTGGACGATGTACAGTGGGACCAGGAGCCTGGACAATGGTTTAGAACAGAGAAACATACATTTTTTTTTTGGGGGGGGGATATCAATACCATAGAACAGCCTACTTTTTCTTTGAAAATATGTTGTAAAATATATTACAATACAACATATTAGCTGTATTTTAATATATTTTAAACTGTGTTATAATAAATATGTATATTATCTRTAAATTCATGGTGTATATTACTATGACATTTAGTTATAAGTAAGTCTTCATAAGTGAAAAACAGACACYCAAAAGCTCCAATAAAAATACTTTTTCAAAGTATTTTTATTAGAATGTTTTTTATTCATCTGAAGAATTTTATAAATTGTACATTTGAATTTTATAATTTTATATACACTTTTCAAATGTACAATTTATAGGATCCTATTGTCCCTTTCCCCACTATTGGTTTTTTTTTTTTCCCCCAATACTGGGACAGAAATTAGTTGTCAGTCAGAACACATGGATACCAGTACCACAAAGTTTTTATTTAAAAAACTTAAAAGTACATTACAGGAGAGGAGAGGGTTTGGCCCTACCCAACTCCTCTTCTTGCAGTTTTTTAGAAAGTATTTTTTTAGTTGTAGATGGACACAATATCTTTATTTTTTATGGTGGTGCTGGGAATTGAACCCAGTGCCTCACACATGCTAGGCAAGTGCTCTACCACTGAGTCACAACTCTAGCCCCGTATTTTTTTTTCCTTAATTGGGATACTGCACAATAGTTTACACCTTTAAAAAGTTACTTTTAAAAATGCTTCCTTATGTTTCTTTAAAAGGTCATTATTATTATTATTATTTTTAAAAGGTCATTATTTTTGAAGTGCAAAAGAATTAGTTTCCCAAGAGGTCAAGTGCACTTCCCACTTCTTTTCAATCTGTCCTACACCACACCAATGATACTAAAATATTCAGTATAAAAATATACTTATTGAGTATCTACTTTGTGCCAGGMACTATGGATATAATAGGGAAGAAAACAAATAAGGCTCATCCACTAATAAAGGTGACAGTCCAGTACAGGATAAGAGATAATAAGCAAGCAAGGAATTAAAACATGCTTCAGGAATATATCAGATGTCTCTTTCCTATTTACCCTTTAAAATTTTTCCATCACTTAGAAGATACTCTGCCTCCTCCCTTCCTCTCTAGTTTCATTTTTTCATTATCCCACATGTCCACCCCAGTTATAGTGAACTAACTGGTTTTCCCCCCAAAGAAAGCCAGGCTACTGCACATGTCCTCTCCCCAGTAAATACTACTGTATCTTTCAAGTCCCTCTTCAAAACTTTCTTCCTTCATTTTACTTTACCTTCTCAATGTTAATCTTGATTTTACTAGCCACTAAGTCTGTTCCAAAGCATTTTATAAATATATCTACTGCAGCATTTCAATTCTCCCTGAAAGGATTGCAGAGGTCTTTAACACTTCTTTCACTGATGTAAGAACACATCCAGAAAGATGCAGTGGGATTACTCTTGTAAATGCCAGACTCCAGAATATTAATGGACAGACAGCTCCCATCTCCTAAAATCTATTGTTCTTTCTCCTAAGCCCTCCTTTATCAAGATATATTACTTGCTTCACTTTTAAGTTTATTAAATTGCTTTATTCATAGGATTATTAATTTTTTCCAACATTTTTTTCATTATAAAAAGTGTACAATGAGTAATATTCTGTATATGCATTTTTATTTTTTCTCTTTCTACATTTTTATTGGTACATTACAGCTGTACATAATGATGTGATTTCTTATTGTATGTTCGTATATACATACAATCTAACAATATAATTTGGCCAATATCACTCCCTAGCATCTCTCCCCACTCCCTTCCTTCTACACATGGTCCCTTTACTCTACTGATCTCCCTTGGATTTTCATGAGACACCCCCATCAACACCACCTTTCTTTTCCTTTTCCTCTCTAGCTTCCACATATGAGAGAAAACATACAATCCTTGGCCTTCTGAGTTTGGCTTACTTTACTTGACATAATGGTCTCCAGTTCCATCCACTTTCCTACAAATGACATAATTTCATTTTTCTTTATGGCTGATGACTAAAACTCCTTGATGTCTATATACCACATTTTTCTTYATCCATTGATGAACAACCAGGCTATTGTGAATTGTGCTGCTATAAACATGGGTATACAACTTTAATTCTTTTTTTTTTTTCAGTACAGACACATTTTTTTCAAATATTTTCAATTTATGATTAATTGAATCCATAGATGCAGTACAGATGGATACAAAGGGCTGATTGTAYTTTTTTTGCACCTAAACTGACATTATTTTTATGTACAGTTCATTAGCTCAAGTGGCTGGAGAACCATACCATAAACTTAGGCCTTTATATAAGCAAATTAATGAGTCTGTATTCTGTGGGCAGAAAATTACCTACATGTAGACACAGTGTACTATCTGGCATTTGTATGACTTCTTCAGGATAAGTTCTGAGGAGTAGTATAGCTGGTCATACCGCAGTTCCATGCCTAGTCTTTTTTTTTCCTTTGGTGCTGGGGATTAAGCCCAGGGGTTTTGTATACGCGAGGCAAGCATTTTACCAACTGAGCTATATCCCAAACCCTCATGCCTAGTCTTCTGAGGAAACTCCAGAGTGATTTCCATAATGGTTGTTCTAATTTACAATCCCACAAAGATATAAAATTATTCCTTTTTCTCACATCCTCTCCAACACTTACAAAATCTCAGTGTAGTTTTGATTTGCATTTCTATAATTGCTAATGATATTCAACATTTTTTCATATATTTGTTGTCATTTATATTTCTTTTGAAAATGTCATTTGGTTCATTTGTCCATTTATTAATAGGGCTATTTGATTTTTTGGCATTTGAGTTCTTCATAATTTCTAGATATTAATCCTCTGTTAAAAACAGTAGCTAGCAAAAACTTTCTCCCAGTTCACATTCCTAGTTGTTTCCTTTGCTGTGAAGATTTTTAATTTGATGCTATCCCATTTATTAACTCTTGGTATTATTTYCTGAGATTTACAAAATAGTTTGTGCCTTTTGTAAAACAGAGTCCTACTGAGACAGTTGTTGCCTGTGCCTGTGTGCTGGACTGTTGACTCAAGTTTTCTTCTAGGAGGTACATAGTTTCTAGTCAAATTCCTAAGTCTTTGATCCATTTTGAGTTGACTTTTGTGCAGGGTGAGAGAAAAGGGTGGTCTAGTCTCATTCTTCTACACATGGATTACCAGTTTTCCCAGCACCAYTCATTGAAAAGGGTCCAATGTATGTTTTTGGAATCTTTATCAAGGATAAGATGACTGTAGATGTGTGGTTTTTGTCTCTATATCTTCTATTCTGTGCCACTGGTTTATGTACATGTTTTTATGCTAGTACCATGCACTTTTTGTCACTATAGCTCTATAGTATAATTTGAAGTCTGATATTATGATGCCTCCAGCATTGCTTTTTTTTTGCTTTGGCTATTCTGGGAGTCTATTCTTCCAAATTAATTTTAGGACTGTGTTTTCTAGAACTGTGAAGAATGCCATTGGTATTTTGATGGGGATTGCATTGAATCTGTATATTGCTCTTTGTAGTATGGCCATTTTGACAATATTAATTCTGCCTATCCACGAGTGTGGGACATCTCTCCATGTTCTTATGTCTTCTTCAATTTCTTTCTTTTATGTTCTGTAGTTTTCATTGTAGAGAGGTCTTTCACCTTGTCAGATTTAGTCCTAGTTTTTTTTTTTTTTTGGCTATTATGAATGGAACAGTGTTCCTGATTTCTTTCTCAGCAAATTCACTGACTTCACTTTAAAGGATCTTTCAAGAAATAACCCAGATTATTATTGAAATCCTTTTCTTCCAAAATCCTCATCTTCACTGAATGAAATACTCATTAAGGATAATTATTAGGTGATTCCTGACCTTCCAAATAAATGTATAATAGAATTGCATATCCAACCGACAAACTGATCAGGAGGAAGTAATAGCCAACATTTAGTAATGAGTACCTTGGAGAATTACCTGTGAGGGCTGTGGTCTTGGAGGCACTGCAGGAGGTTGGGCAACAACTCCAGCCTGTTGTTGTCCTGTGTGAATATGCAAGTCTTCTTTTTAGCAAATATATAGTCACTTTGCTAATAGAAAAAACAGGCTGAATCAATGTGACCACATGATAAACATTTCTAAGAATGCTTGATAATTATAGAACGGTGAATACTATCTTGTACAACAGTCTATGTCACCCATTGGCCAAATCTCTTGACTTTTCCTCAGACCTTATTTCTCTTGGGAACTGCATTACATGAGAGACTCCTGATAAGCTCCTGTTTCCATACTAGAATATATTCTCATATTTTCCTGCTATATTTCTGACTGCTTGTTAGCTATCAGATACAAAAACTTCCAATTTTTCTTTTTAACACTTCACTCTACCATTTCTATGCAAATAATTCTAAACATTACATCGATCTTTCTTTGCTTGAAGATCCAGTGACCTGTTGATTATTTAGATTTTTCCTTACCATTTCAAACTCAAAATGACTAAAACATGACCTCAATACCCTTTGCCCATCATTTCTATTTCAATCAATGTAATAGCAATACTGTCAGTTGAAATTTTACCAAATTATGACTGTTCTTGCCCTTTCATTAGCCAAGTGAAGGCCTATTACTCTCCCACCCCTGATATCACTACATCTTCTTGAAATTTCCTAAGTTATACCTTAGGTTTCTATATGTATTATTTCCATTCAAACACACAAAAAGAGAGTTACTAAGAAAAAAACATCCCCTTTATTTGATGTATCTTTACATCCAGATTTTTTCTTCATAAAAATACAATAAATAAGACATATTAACAAGAGTGGAAATAAAATGTTGTATGTCTTRGATTAACTTTAAAATTAAATGATAATATATATTGTGCTTCTTTGGCCCCTACCTGTGGTGACTGTAAAGGTCCGATTCATATCTAAGGATGATGATCTAGAATGAGAGGGCTGTGGCCTTGGAGGGGGAGGTGGTGGTGCAGTGTTATCAGGAGAAGTTCCTGAATGAGACCTGCAAAATTCACCCCATAACAAATGGTCATGCTATTCATATTGGAAAATTTTTTAAGCATTCAAACTTGGCTAAGCAGCAAATGACCCTACTAGCATGACATTTTCTCAAGCAGTACCTATTTAAATATAACCATCGGTAAGGATAGCACTATTATATGTCCTAAACAAGTGGGTTTTTTTAATGTTGTAAAGTAAAACAATAAACAGTATTTTAAAAATTTGGAGAAGTTAGTTGTCAACATGATTTCAAGCTAAACTTGCAAACCATAGGCTGCTTTTCCCATTCAACTAAAGGTAATAATTAAAAAAATTAAAATTTTAATTTTAAAAAAAGAGAAACTCTACTATCAAACTTGTTTTATCTTCCAAACTTATTAAAAACCGGAGTCTGGTAAGCTGAGGTCAAACCTGGGTAAACTATCTGAGGTGCCCATTCTGTTTCACCAAAGACCATCTTACTTAAGAGCTCAACTCGCCCTAGAGATTCACTTCTTTGCTACTGAAGTCTTTGATACTTTCAGTCTTCTTCTGAAAAGGGTCCCCATGGATAYTGGCAATCTGGTCTTCATATATATATAGGGATAAAAAGAATAAAACCAAGATRACTGAGAACTCTTAAGAAACACAGGAAGAACTATCTGAAAAATTGGAAAGGAAGCAAGCAGCCTTAATTTATGGGGAGAGAAATATGCTTCTGTTCTGAACAGCTTTTAGTGAATGGCAAAGTCCTCACAGACAAATCTCTTGCCATCTCCAACCCTATCCCACACGAATTGTTTGTGCCTAAGCTTTAATGTAACACAGAAGTTTAGGGTCAGGGGCCTGCACTGCTGGGCTGGGTTGGATGCTGTTTTAAAACACAGAATTCTTTTGGTACTTGTCATAACCTATTCATTTATTACTTTAGACTCTCACTGTTTCACTACAAAAAGGACTATATTAAGCTTCTATTGTGAAGAAGTTATCAGCTTTTAGAACTTCCACAAAATACATGAGGAAAAAAACAAAAATAGAATTTCATTGATTTTCTAATAAAGTTRGAAAGAATGAAAATTACTTGTCTTTTACATATTACCAAAAAGTAACCTAACAACTTTCAGAGAACAAAATAATGTGTATGTGGTTCCAAATGATTTTAAGTATTAAACTGCATCAAAATAAAAAAAATGCATTAAGATATTTTAACACTTTTAATTGGCAGAAATACTGACCTTTGACGAGTTACATTGCTCCCGATCTGTTCTGGGTCAGAAGTAAAAGAGTCTGAACTACTGTAACCATCTGCTGATAAATGGGATATGTCCTATTTAATAATAATCATTTCTTTACTTTTTGCTCTATCTAACCCACACAAATATAAGTGAGAGACTGTTTCAAATCAAAAATATTCAAAGACTGCTAATAGGTAACCGTTCATCCTAATGTTACTAACTGTAAAAAATTAAGATTCAATCAAATAAATCATGCATATKTATACAGCAAATCATTATCTAGAAACTTAATACTTAATGATACAGAATTATTCAAAATAAGTCACAAAATGTTATATATGTTACAATTCCATATTATATAAAAACAGAACTACAGATTGAGTATACCTTATTTGAAATGCTTGGGGCCATAAAAATTTGGTTTCCAATTTTTTGGATTCTGAAATATTTACATGTATATAATGAGATGTTTTAGGGATATTTAAAGACAAGATCTGTTTCATATACACCTTATACATACAGCCTATAGGTAATTATATATATATTTTTTAGTGTTCCTGTGCTTTGACTGTAAACTATCACATGAATTTAAGTGTCAAATTTCATACTTGTGGTGTCATGCTGGCAATCAAAAAGCTTGAGATTCTGAAACATTTCAGATTTTCGATTTTMAGATTAGGACTGCTCAACCTGTATTATACACACACAGAATGAGAACTAAAGTTGATGATGACTTTGTTAACCATGGTCATTTGTAAAATAGTGAGAGTATGAATAGTTATTTTGTTATTTATCTATTACATTTTTTTATCTATTACATTTTTGCAGTTAAATGTGAACTGCTTTGTAATGTAGAAAAGCCACTTTCAAAGAATAAATTTTAAAATATTTAAAATAAAGAAAATGAATTTTAAAATTGTTAAAGTGAAAAATAAAACAACCTGAAGTAACATATGCTGGCAATAATAAATTTTTTAAGCTAGGGGTCCTTGATTTTTCTATTTCCTCAAAGACTTAGAAAGCAGCAGGGAGGGCTGGGTTTATTGCTCAGTGATAGAGCACTTGCCTAGCATGTGTGAGGCACTGGGTTCAATTCTCAGCACCACATAAATAAATAAAATAAAGGTTCAACAACAACTAAAAAAAAAATTAAAATAGAAACTCAAGGTATAATCTGAAGGAAAACTATATACACTTTTAAGGATACTGGTTATTTGGTTTAATTTCATTTCAAAACTTATCCTTTTACTTTTTCTTGMCATATAATGGAATTACTTAATTGGTAAAAGAATGATGCTAAAATGAACATATTTCCACCTAGATGTCCTAACATATACGTCAAATTTTAGATGTATAAGACTGAAGTCTTAATTCTTTCCCCACAAACCTATTATCATGACAGCCTTCCTCATCTCCCAGCTACAGATAAAAAGCCCCAAAATTACCCCTGCCTCTTCCCTCCAATCCTCTTATACCACAGAGGTAAGCAAGCTCTGTGGCTTTCTAACAAATGTTCAAAATTCAGCCCCAAATCTGACTACTTCTTAGTATATCCACTGCTACCACTCTAGAYTGAGCCACTCTCTTCTCCTGCCTGAATTATTATAATTCTCTCCTGAACTGTCTCTCTTGCCTTCTTTTGGTCTATTACTATTAGAACTGCCAGAGTGACCTCGTTTTTTTGTTTTGTTTTTTTAAAGGAAGTTCAGATTATTTCACTTCTCAATTCAGAATCTTCTAATTGCTTTTCCATTCAGTAAAGGTCAAAGTCTTGTACTGCTCCTTGCTACTATTCTACCACTTACTACTCTGACTTGCCAAGTCTTTTATTACACATCTGTTTGCAGTCCCAACAGAAACAAGTTTCCTTTYTTAAGGTTTTACTAATTCCTGTGCCTTAATTCATCCTTCTTTTAGGATTCAAACAGCTGAATCACTCTGCTCCTTCAAGTTTTGACTCAAATGCTATCTTTTGGTAAGGCCTTTTTTGAACACTTTATTTAAAATGGCATTCCTTCTTCCCTTTCCAGTCTTATTTTTATACATGGTATTAATTACCTTCTAATTTAAGAGCTGCCCTCCCTCTTATTATCTTATCTCTCTTACGGAATATAAACTCTATGTGGGCAAAGATTTTTTCTTTTTTGTTTACTGCTAAATTCCCAGTACCTTGAACAGAACTTGGCACTTAGTATCTGATTAACACTGGCTGAATGAATAAACATATCCACAATGTTTTGTGAGACAGAAAGAAAAAATGTTGATAGAAAAGAGCCAATGGACCAAGCTGGGAGGGAGCAGCCTTCCCTCAAGCAGGTGGCAATGAAGAGTGGCCATTTGTTCACAGACAGGGTAGGATGATTAAAAGAGCTGACTATCTTCTACTTTACTCAGTGAAGACAGCACTAAATGGCTACACATTTGAAGCACTCAGACTTTTAAATCCATCCACACTTAATATACTTCAAATAGAAAGTGTGAGGCAAATGTTTCACTTACTTACCTACAGTATTTCCAGAAGCAAATTTCACAGATGAATTTATCTTATTTTCTTCTGAAAGGTCAGATGGTTTCACAAGTAAGGGGCTGGTCGGATTAGTATGATCTAGTGGAGAATTAATAGGTAAAAATACAAATACTAGTATTTGAATTGATAAATTCATAAAGTTCAGAATATAAAACTWCATTTAGATATTCCAAAAAAGTGGCAAATAAATCCATGAGATATTAGACAAAATAATATTTTTTAATAAAAATAAATGTAAACCTGTTTATATGGAATTTCATCATCGGCCATAATAAGATACTTGATAATTAATGATACTAATTCACACAAGAAAAAAATATCCACCTTTCAGAAACTTTAACCAAAATATTTAGTCTAAACTGACGGGAAATTCCAGAAATTCAAGTAAAACAGACAACTTACAAAATTTATACAAAGGCCAAAATCTACTTTTACATATCTTTTTTAGTTAAAAACTGAACACACTTTAAATAATTCATGATGGTGACCACATAAACCCAGGGTTATTGGAAAAGTCACATTTCCACATGCTCTTATTCTAAAACCTTATACTTTAAGATCAGTAATTTGCTTTAAAAAACTGCAACATAGGCCAGTGCAGTGGCACAWGCCTATAATCCCAGCAGCTTGAAGCTGAGGCAAGAGAATCAGAAGTTCAAAGCCAGTTGCGGCAACTTTAGCAAGATCCTGTCTCAAAATAGAAAATTTAAAAAGGGGGCAGGGGAATAGGGATATGGCTCAGTGGTTAGATTCAATCCCTAGTACCATAACCAAAACAAAAAACTGCAATATAAGCAAACACACGTGTCTTAAACACAATAATTAGAAAGCACTAGATTTGAAAAATAAGCAATTAAAATACAATCTAGTAACATCTTCCTTACCACTGCCAGTTCTTTTAAGTTCCATTTCTTGCATGTGGATTTTGCTTGGAGTCATACGAATGGGAACTGGATGAACAATAGCAGTATCCTAAAGATAAAGGGAGTAAATATAAATTTTGTATTTAAAATGTCAAGTTAATACCATTAAATAACCAAAACTAACAACAATGCAAAAACTAGTAGATAGATTTTTCTCATTTACACTAAGGTAAAGATGAGAATAAGTTTTCATAATCAAAAGCTTAGTTGATTTTATCAAGTCAAATTAGTTGATTTTATCAAGTCAAATATTCTGATTTCTTTTATAAAAAGTACATCTTAAATTGAGTGATTAAACATTTACATGAATAAATTCTCTTATAAAAACACAGTTCACAACAATATTCAAAAGCAATTTAAAATGGTCTGATGAAATTATACAACTGTTAAATCCTGAGGTTAAAGTAAACTATTTCATGAAAACCCAGACTAAAAACTCATTTTCGTAGACTACTTAAGAAAATTTGATGATTTTTTTCACCTATAAAACAAAGATAATGAGCTGTCAATTTAATTGGGATAGTGGGCACAATACAACCTTTCTATGGAATTGTTCAAACTGTTAAAAAYAGAGTGCCTCAAATTTTAGCTCAGACTTCCACAAAGGAACTCATTATTTCAGAAAACAAGTAAGACTCCCTGTCTAACTTGCTAATACTTTTCTTCTACCATTTCCACGATGGCAATATATCTAACTTGGTGAATGGTGATTTTAGAGGCATAAAGAAGCTATTTGTATAAACTTTTGTAAATAATGAAAGAGCAAAGGTAAGGAAGAAGAGGACGAAGACTAATGGAGACATCTCAGAAAGGGTGGGAGAAGAGTGAGGTGCCCTGGGACATGGAGAAGCCTCATCCTGACCCCTAGYAGAGGAATCAGAGCATCTGAATTCACAGCAACAGACCAGCTGAAAAACATGGCCAAGGGAGCTTGGCTCCTCYTATGAGGAATCAGTTCATACTCTGTACGTGCTGCAGTTAAAAACAAATTTGAGACCCTTCAATTTCAAATATCTATTAATGAGTTAAGTTTATAATTTAGTGTAGAGGATGCTGAATTTTAGTTTATACTGGACACTGTTTTGGTGATAATACTGCGTTAACACCAAGTCCATGAGAGGGAAAGTTATGTTCCTGCATATGGTCTCTTACTAGACCAGCCTCCTTGGCTTATTCTCATCACCTTAAAATTCAATTTATAACAAATTCTTTAGAGCTACTATCTTGATAAAGTCATTCAAAGTAATTTCCTGCTCCTATACTTAAGAGAATTTTAAATAGGGTTAATATTTATCCAAGAAGCCTAACATTTCCCCTATACATCCTAAAATTGTAGTTATAAAGACCAACATTACAGATGGATCAAAGTTTAGATTTCTCATAATGAGTGACTCTCAAAATATAATAACACACTTAAGATACTGTTTAAGTTATAGTTGCAATACAAAAAACATGGCTTTAGGGGTTGGGAGTAGAGTGCTCACCTTGCATGCACAAGGCTCTGGGTTCAATCCCCAGCACCACAAAAATAAATACACACACACACACACACCCACCCACCCCATGGTTTTATACATGACTATTTTCTTAATTCATAATTTCTTATAATGCCAGAGTTTCAATCTTTGTTAATCTGTAGATGTGAGTTGTTTCTCTTTGTAGTTATATATTTAAAAAAATATATTTTCTACTTGTCAATGGATCTTTATCTTATTTATTTATATGCGGTGCTGAGAATTGAACTCAGTGCCTCAACATGCTAGGCAAGTGCTCTACCACAGAGCCACTCCCACATGTGCTAGGCAAGTACTCTACTACTGAGCTACTGCCCCACTCCCAGTTATACACTTTTTTTTAGCTGATGGTTTTGAAAGTCCTTTTCTATATTTCTTTCTTGCAATCTGCACGTCTTTTACACACTTCTGTATTCATTTTTTTCTGATGCACAGGAGCTTCAAAACATTCTGCATTTGTTTTTTCAGTGTGTGATAAATATATTCTTGTTACTGAGTTTCCTTTATTATGTTCTTGATATATAATATAATTTCAATTTGGCCTAATTAACTGCTTTTTTTTTTCTTTTTGGTATTGGGGATTGGATCCAGAGGCACTTTGACACTGAGCCACATTTCCAGCCCTAATTAACTGTTTTTTTAAAAACAATTTGTGYAAGTGGTACCTTTAATTTTTTTTTCTTTTCTCTCAAAGTCTTAAAAGATACATGACTTCTTTTCAATGTTTTATAATCTTGCCTTTACATTTACTATTKTATCAGAAGGGAAAGGTTTTTGTTTTAAACGTGATGCCAGGAAAGCAGCTAAGTTCAGTTTTGTTTATTCCTCTCAAAATGTTCTTGAAAAAAATCTGTAGCCTAAAGTCTTGGGCACTGTATTTTTTACTATATCCATAGATAAATTTGTATCATTCTAATCACTTACAAATTATAGATTATTTGACTGATTAATATATAAGTTGCTAAAATAGGTAAACCTGACTCTGAAGGTGATTTTCTACTTTCCTTTTAGTTAATTTTTGCTTTATGTATTTTTAATTTATCAGGTACAACATTAAACTACATTGTAGTTCTCAGGTAAACACATTTTGTCATTTAATTGTACATACTAGGCAAAATATAGCTCTGTATATTTACAATTTTAATTGCATAAATAAGTGTTATAAGAATCAGAATTCACCATTCTAAGACAAAATCAAGGAAAAAGAAATGATAGCACATGTGAAAATAATTTCTGATTCCAAACCCAAACAAATCAGGGGGAAAAAAAATGTCAAATTTAGATGCTTCAAATTTGTAACATTTAATATATATTCTATGTGTATAAAATCAGATTTATAAAATTTAAAATAGTTGGAAATATTAACTAGTATTTGTATCCATTTGTGGTATAAAAAAGGGAGGTCAAGAAAATCTGGAATGTTCTGTAACTTCACTCAGGTCTTCTGTACCAACAAATCAATATTCTGYAGCACACTGTATTCATACAACTACTGGTTGCTGTGGTTCTACAATGGCTTTAGTCCAGTGGATCTACTGACAGCAGAACATGGTAGTGCTTTGATGAACTTGACACACATGAACACGTCTAACCTCAGATTAAGATATCAGAAGTTGCATTTAYGACTGTAATGTGCAGCAAGACAGGGAGTTTTCACTTTAAGCATTTTAGCATCCACATGAAGAACCAAAATGTATACAAATCTCTTAGTCCTAAGACACATGTGCCATAAGATGCCAAAGTAACACTTTTCCGGCTCCAACCTACTGTTTCTAGGGGAGGAAACAAAATTGGCTGGCCAACATCTTCTTATCTAGTCAGATTACCCAAATCCTTCAGGTAATCCATTTCTAATCATTCATGGCACATCTGTGTTATGTATTTGGTGTGATTTTACATAATGCARTACTTTATTGAATTATATATATTATATATGTATCTCATAGATCTAATTTTTCTACATGCCTTAAATGCTATTATTCTTATCTGTCTGAATCCAGTCCTGCCTACTTTTCATTCCCATGTCAGGGAATTAGGTATTAGACCTCTTGATCCCTCTTGCTTCAGTTAATTCACATTGTTGCCTAAGTGATCTTCCCCTTACTGTCCTTGCCATCTCATTYGGGTACTCTGTGATATCTCCTGGTGCTATTACCCTGTGAGGTGAAATTCAGCTACTTACTCTAGCTTATGAAGATTTTCTCAATCTACTTTCAACTACATTTCTCAGCTCCCACTGTTCCTCCATAGGTATGTGCACCCTATACTATGACCACAATGAACTGATCCTGCTCATGAAACTCTCCCTGCCTGGACTACCCTTGTCCATTTTGCCAATGTCTATTTTCAGTGAAGACTAAGCATACTACTATAACCTCTTGTGAAATCCTTCCCACATAGCCAACCCTTTCTCTGCCTACAGGTTTATTCAGCTGAAAATGAGATAATTAGAATCTTAATTTCATCGGAACTCTGAAAGCCTAATAACTAACCATCCCAGTGTACATATGAGGTCACTGTGCTATGTAAGTGCTACAAATCAGTTTGAAGCTTTTCATAGATTTTTTTATTTTATTGAGCAAAGGGTTAATTACCCAAGATTTAGTTCCTTTTTAATATTCCATTATATATTTTCAACACTGAAGGGCTGGGCTGTAGSTCAGTGGTAGAGTGCTCGTCTGGCATGAGTAATAACTTGAGTTCAATCCCCTAACTAACTAAATACATCACTGAAAGGTAAGTTAAATTCACATAAAAACTTTAGTTTTATTGTTTTTATCTTCTCCCTTCTAATCTGAAAGGGTCTCATTTATTTACTTAAAATCCTTATTTATATAAGCCTTGCAAAGGATTATCTGGGATTGTGGCTCCAGGCTATGCTCTATAAACAGTCAATATTTTAGTTAGTATTAAATGAAGGTTAAGAAACTCAGATTCTAAAGCACACAATTAGGAGAAAGGAAGGCATTCTCCCAACTGAAAAATTAAAGATTACAGGTTAGAGAACAAAGTTCAGGTTTAAGCTTACCGACATAAATGAAAAAAAGATTTTCTAGATGTCAAGAGTATAAATACTTAAGAATGTCAACTTAATTTTTCCCCATTTTTTCATTTGTTCTTTTTACATATATATGGCAGTAGAGTGCATTTTGACATATTATACATATATGGAGTATATTTTCCCATTCTGTGATTGTACATGATATGGAGTTAGCTGGTCATGTATTCACATATGAACATAGGGAAAGCCATGTCTGCTCAGAATGCCAATTAAAATGATCAAATTCAGAAGTCTAACTTCAAGTTTAAAATGTCAAGCATTCTGTATTTTCTTAGTCTCTTGTCTACCACACTAGAAGTAACAAAGTATACTTTTAAACACTCATAAATTAGGATATTATTTCCAAGTAAGAACATCACTTGTAATAAGCTTAACATTCCTCTATATTTCCTGGCAGTCATGAGTCAATTTATTTTGACTCTGAGCTCTAGATTTTTATATATAATGTTCTTACTTTGTCTCACAAAGAGTTATAATACTACGTGTGATTATTTTCACTGTCTTGTAAGGGTTAAGAGATTAAGATGATTTTTTTTCTATAAAATACCTTCATTAAATAAACAAAATTAACTGGATTATATATTTAAAAAATTAGCAGGTAGAAATAAAATAGGGAACTCTTTAAAGCTTAAAACTTGTCACTTCCCAAAAGATCTTAATTATGGCTGCTAATAAGCAGCAAAAATTTCAACTGTTGGCTTTATTTCTCTTGCATTTTTCAGATAAAAGTAAAAAAYAAATGCCTTAAATATACTAACAGAAGCAAAAGGCACAGAAGATCTACATATAAATTGGTCCCTGAATATTTTAATAGACTATAAACATTTTTTAAAGGCYATATATTATGTTTGAATTAAATGACTGTAACAGCATCCTCTATATTTCAAATACAAATTCTATAAAAAAWTTTTTTTAGGTGATAGACCTTTATTTATTTATTTCTGTATATGTGGTGCTAAGAATTGAACCCGGTGCTTCACATATGCCAGGCAAGTGCTCTCCCACTGAGCCACACTGAGCCCACAATACAAATTCTTTAAAATTTTATAAGGCACCCAAAATCCACTGATTGAAACTGAAGATATTTTATCTTTAAAGCCACTTCTCCAAATCCATATTAAATGATGAAGCCATTTTAATACTTAATTATTAATTGCCAGCTGCTAAATCTAAGAATGCCTGTGTCACTTTCTACATAGCTCACTTAAGAAAACAAAACCAAAAAACCCTACCTTTACACTCTTCTTCCCTTACTACTTAATTCCTCTTTTCTTTTTGGAAAGTGCTTATTAGCATGGAGAGAGAGAGAGAGAGAGAGAGAGAGCGCTCGCGCGACCGCGCGCGACCGCGTGCAAAGGCAGAGAAATGAACAGAGAGAAAAATAATTTAAAGTTTTGAAGTTTTCAAATAACTTCAAGGACAGGAGGGGCATAGATGAAATTAACTTTATAGAGATAAAATTAATTTTTACATTCAGGATATGAACTTTGTAGCATTTTCAAAAAACACAGTAAACCACAGGAAGACAAAACAGGTTCCTTTGCACAAGAGGAATTTTTGACAAATAGCTATGTATTGTTTTACTGAACTTGATTCTATCTAACAGAACTTAACATACTAATTAAACAAAAGCCTATCATTTGAAGTGTTTTTAAAAAGATGACACTGCATAAATATTTACATACACAGTACATATTACATGATGCATAAGCATACAAATAATATTTACATAAGTGTCACTACATTGAAATACGTAGTATGTTAAATAAAACATACATTTAATTAGCAAATGACAACATGGTTAACCAAATCAATTATCACAAAATGCTTCTTTAGACACATGTACCAGATTTTAAAAGCATAGTTTTTCTCACCAAAATAACTAGAAAATACAAGAAATGGAAAAAAAAAAAATTCTTTCCACCATTAAACACACAAAAATTGAAAAGTCTGCAAACATTTCCCTCTAAGCACTACACTGAATCATGCATAGTGGCTAAAAAACCATAATAAATGGAAATTTGGGTTAATAAAATTAATTTCAAACAAGCAAGCTAAGTGATTGACTTACAGGATCAGCTGGTGCAATGTTAGAATCAAATTGGGTCAGAGTTTGTGAGCTTGAAGAGCGTTCACTAAATGTCTCCCACTGCTGAACAGACAGAGGAGAGACAAGTCAGCATGATGAGAAAGATGGAGTAAAAGATCACTGGAGAAGATTTAGCAAAGTAATTCAGAGGTTGCACTGCAAGCTGTGTTTCATAGGTCTAACATTATTATGTAACTTCTATTTTTCCATGAACATCTTATACTTATCTATCTTGGGTCATTTTGAATAAAAGGCAAACAGTTTCACAAGCAGATATCAACTGAATAGTAATAATTTTTTGTAATCTCTACTAAAGAGATTCATAGCCTTACAGAATTAAGATTCAAAACATAATACAGGACCATATTGTGAGTGATATAAATGGCTATCAAGTGAAAATGTAAAGGAGTTTGTCTAGCCTGGAAGAAAGAATAATCCTTCTTTTAAAATTCAAACGTTAATGCATTGACTTGGTAATGGTAACAAAGTTTTGATTAAAACAAAGCAAGTCAGTGTGACTTGCCAGTGCGACCCCTGAAAGATGATTCTATTATGTTCGTGCACATATTTTATACATATGCATAGATATTTAATAAAATATAATTGAGACAAAATGCAAGGAATTCTGGAATTAATATGTTTGCGCTTATGTCAACCTGTAGCAAGTCAACCCCTGCAATCAGCACAAAAAACAGGGCCATGCTAGTTCACAAGATGGAATCGCCAATCAGGCACCCCCCTCCCCGTGCTAGAAAAATCAGAATGCAGCCACAATGAGAGCAAATCAAGCATTTGAGTATGTGTTATATATAGAAGATGTATATGAAGTATTACGTATCTAAAAGAGGTACACAAAGAAATATCATACCTCTTAAAATAGTGGATAATTCAATATTAATTACAGTAAATTCCATTTGTTGTAGAGATCTTAGTAATATGTACAGAATTTTTACATTAAAATCGTCAGTTAAATCAGATTCTTAAAATTTATCAGTTATCCTCTGAAGAGGGAAAAACATCTACACATATACAATATATACAAACAAATGTTTACACACAGACACACAACTACCCATTCACCAAAATTCTTTTTATAATTCACTTTGGGAAAGTATAGTTTTATGCTTCAAAGTTCAATTTACTATTTAAAATACTGATATTCAATTTGAGAAGACATGTAGAAGTTAGCAGTTGAGTGCACTATTAAAAATTATCTACAAAAATGGGCAATACAATCTTTCATCAATTTTTTCTGCAGATTAGTTTTAGCATGAAAAATAAGATAAACAAGAAATAGTGATGCACYCAAAGTATTTTAGGTAGAAAAGCCATAATAACTCACTTCTATCAGGAGACATCAGTTCAAGGAAGTGACTTAACAATATCTGTTAATACAATTGTTTTCTTCTTCAACAATTATTGTCASCAGGATTCATAAGGAATTTTTAAAAACCTAATTAACTGAAAAAAGTTCAAATACAGAAAACTTTGGCAAAAAGAAGGCATATATGCTAACACCCTGCTTGGGTGTCATGAGGTTTGTCCTCCTGGTTTTACAAGACTATCTGTAAGCAATTTGGAGGGACGAGATTCTCCTCTTCATGACTTTAGTATATGGTTAAGAGCACAAGGCTCTGGAACCAGACTACTGGAATCCTATTTGGGCTTTGCAAACTTGGGCTAGTTATATTCCATAACCTCTCYGTACTTCAGTTTCACCATCTGTAACGTGAAATTAATACTACCTACTTCACAGGAGTATTCTGAGGATTTAAGGAGTTAATATAGATAAAGAGTTTTCTGGACAGAACTGGAACATCAAAAGTGTTCAACAAATGTTAGTGATTATCATTAGTGTTATCCCCTGTACTACCTAATCCATATCCACAGGTACTAAATTAAAGTTAAAAAAAATATTAGTGTTTTGGTGGTAGATAATGAAAATAAAATCTAAATTTTATATCCTAAGTAACTAAATAGGTATCATTTAAAATAGGTATCATTAATACATCTTAAAAATCAATGTTTTATTAGCTTTTGATATTTCATATAAAGCAAAAAAAATTACCACTTTTTTGGTATTGTTAGCAAATACTAGAAAATAGAACTTGATAGGAATATTTAAGCAGGCAGTCAGCAACTAGTGGAATCAGAACTGAGAAGGGACTTCCAGCCCTCGTCTTTAACGCGTTAATAGCATGTGATTTCATTTAAAATGAACACGGGCTTAGGAGTTGAGACTCATATAAGAGCTGCTCTTATTTACAAACTGATAAAAGTAGGCTAACAATACTCCTTTTATTCTGATAGTGCCTTTAAAAAAATGATAGAAATGTAAATGCAGTGAAAGTAATATTTTCAAGAACACTTATCTACTCTCCATAAACGTTCTACTGGCCAATTTTTCAAGGGCTTAATCCCCTTCTCTACAAAAACATATTAATAGGTTTACATCTGATGGTAGGACATATGGTATAATGTTATAATGCTTAAGACACAGTCTTGGCTGTGGTTGGGTGTTTACAAAGCAGTAAAAATAGTACAAAACTGCCAGTTACTTCTCTGTTTTCCAACTGTCCCAAATTAACTAGGGTACTCTTTAATCTAGTATTTTTCTGGCTTTCAAGAACATGGAAAGCACAGAAGCTTCCTGAAAGTTAATAAACTCTTATTTTTGCAGTACTACCTAAAGAAAAAAAGATAATTTATTCATAAAGAGAAATGCTCTCAGGCTGGAACAGTGGTTTCCAAATGGAGTCCTCCAGAACCCTAAAGTTCAACAGAGCGTCCTCAGGAGGTGCCTCAGGGGAGGGGGGCCTCAGGCCCTCTTCCTTTATTCTAAGCAAAGTGATCCTTTTATTGTTTTATATGATAGAACTTTGAAGTCACTGGAGAACAATGCATTTGTCCCAARTTCTATTTTGCATACTATGCTTGGTCACATTTAGACAAAACACTCCGTTTAATATTGAATAAGGTCACAGAAAATATCTTATTCCTGTGGAAGGCATGCCTAGTGACATCACATCACTTCCAATCCCAAGATTCCAATTGTATTATCATGTACCTAAGGACTGAGATGGCATGACTCATTAGACAAGGCAGCTGACTAGTATCAAAGGACTTGTATTAAAATCTTAGCTCTTAAATCTCCTGGAAATGAGATCTTGGCCAAGTCATTCACTTTGACTTTTAACTTCATTCATCTGCCCCAACTAACTCATAATATTTTAGTGGGGATAAACAATGGAAACCAAATGACAGTGCATGTACATTAAAAACTTCAAAAGTTACATCATTACAAACATTTATTTATCAGTTATATTAACTATGCATGCATGCTCAAAGAGCTTTATACTGACATTAACCTGTTTGAAATTTCTTACCTTAAAAATGCTAATTTTTAATTGAAAAAAAAAAAAGAAAAGAAAGAGAAGAAAAGAAAGCTATGCTAACCTCACTGCTTTGATTCAGCTCAGGCCAAGTCTGGTTTAGTGATGGCATTGATGGTGACTTGCTTGGAGGTGCTTCAGTAGGAGAGCCTGGCTGATCTCCAACATCTGTAATTTAAAAACAGAAGAATCCTCTATTAACAATATATTTTAGTTTAGAATATTTACTTATAAAAAAGCTAGCAGATGACTTTCCTAAGTAGTAATTTATAAACTGATTTTTCTTATGTTCGCCAAATAAACATTTTAATCATCAGACAAATACTCATTCATACTACTCTGTCTACCTGAAACCACAGTTTTTTTAACTTTTTATGAAAATAAAAWCTAGTTAGGAATAAGCAGAAGAGTGTTATACACGTTTATTTTACACAGTGATAATAAATAAAAGGTCAAATGCTCTGACTCAGTTTCTGATATCAGGGATGGATTTTTTTATCAGCTTCCCAAAGTATATTCCTTGTAATACTAATCACTATGGTGACTTTCAAAAATTAGGTTTTTTTGCTCATRTAAGTTTGTGGGATACTATAATTCCCCGTTGGAGCACTCCCATGCATATCAAGACTACTTATGTCCAATAGTAAACATTTGTAAGTCAGTTTTTCTCAAACACAAATGCTTTTCATCACATAAAATTCTTCAATATTCTCTTGAAATATACTTTGGGAACTGCTGATTCATACTCATTAATCACATTTCCTCAACAAATCTTTCTTGATACCAAAAAAATGGAAAATAAAAGGAATTCCCAGTCATTAAAAAAAAAGCAAAAATCCATAAGCCCATATGAAACTTAAACCTTTCTTTTAGTCCTGTGGATTGAACCCAGACCTTGCACATGCCCTCTACCACTAAGCTATACCCCCAGCCCTTAAAACTTTTGTCATTACACTCACTGCTATTTATCAATAGCTACAAATCCATGACACTAATTCGAAATGATTTTTAATGTAAGTCAAAGTATCATACTATAATTTTAATTCTATTTAAGCCCTAATTTAAAATCTCTCTAAATCTACACTTAAAAATATAATTTCAAAGGTAACTAAATTCCCTAATTTTTCCAAGGTTTACACAGCTTTGAATATAATCCCAATCAACAAGGAGTATGTAATTTGTTTAGACCATATATCATTCACAATTCCAATATCTGTGTCTGTCTTTCTATTTGACCATGGGCAAGTTAAATAAAATAACATCCAAGTTTTTCCACCAGAAAGAAAGACACTTGGTATTAAGTGTTAGCTCTATACTTCAGATTTCTAAGCATACAGCCATATAATAAACCTACTGTTATTTGGCTTTTAATCTTTCAATTTAGTCATAAATTTTTACCTTTTAGTACCTAACATAGTTTCTAATACAGAATAGCACTCAAGTATTTACTGAGTTAAGTTGCTTTTTGTGTTCTTCATTACTGTCATTTTCTTAGAATCACAACTAATAGTTGGGAAAACTCTCAAAATTCTCCTTCTACCTGCTGTGTTTCATGACTCTCTCAAAATATTTCCCTTTTATGTACCCTGTAATTATACCTTTTATCATTATACCACATTGCAAGTTCTAGTTTACAGTCTAGCATTACATTTTGACTCCTATTTGTATTATAAATTGAAAAGATGTTCCTATTTCTTTCTGAGTCCTATACCTTCACAGTAACACGGAGTTAGTGTGAGAGCAWTAGAGGCAGGAAGGCTTCAGCTATTGTTATATGAAGACTGCAGAACTCAAAGTTCTTAGAGAACTAGTGGAAAAATTATTTAGAACAGTAATAAGTCATTTCTCATTGGATAGTTTGGTGTTTTTTTGTGGGAACCGACATTATAAACCTTTCTCCCCCCATCATAACAAAGGGAAAGGAAATTAAGGAAAGAAAGATAGCTGCTAAAAATATGAAATTTGCTAAAAGTGAAAGTCTCCAGGGCCATAGAAAATGAAGAAAGGTCTTTACGAGAGATCCCTGCCCCCCACCAAAGCACTTAAGTATTAAAGAAAAATAAATAGAATTAAATAGTATTAACTCTAGGGGGAYTAATTTCCAAAAGAATCAATTTAAAGCCAGACTCTATTCTTTTCTCTTCAACATCATCTTAGGACCTTCTGAGGCTCTGGTTTGGCTTTCAGATCTCAGTTCTCATGATGTTGTTTTACAAATTCAGGGACAGACTATACCACATCCTCACCTCAAGGCAGTTATAATTTGGGAAGAGATCCAGATAATCTCTATCAGTGGTACAAAAGCTACAGTGGGTCTAGCCTCTTAAGGCTAAGAAATAAAATACTACTCACCCAAGTAATTATACTTTATTATCATTTCAATGATTATTTTCTTACAATCTCAGTTGTCAAACAATGGATCACTGACTTCTTTTGGGAATCTTTACAATTCTTTTTTTTTTGGGGGGGGCCTGAAAAGTCAAAATTATTCTTGTAATAATATTAGTAATTTTTCTTCCTGTGTTGATATTGACACTGATTCTGAAAAGCAACAGTGGTTAAAAGCACTACTGGTTCATCAAGAAGAATCACAGCAGTGATGACAAAATGTATTATTCACCCTCACATATATAAATTCARAATTTTTACTATAATACAAAAAAATGCATGTTGCTCTCACTGAAGAATTTCATAATGAAGCAAATAATATTTAATTTTGATAAATTTTAGCACTAAAAACACACCTCTATAATACTCTGTKACAAAATGGGAAATATATATAAAACACTTCTGTTGCATATCAGGGTACAATGGTTGTCTCAAAGAAAAATATCTATGTGATTCAGCTGTAAGCCAAACTGACCACTTTTCATAGAATACCATTTATCTTGAGGGAACAGTTTATAAACTATAAGTATTTGGATTTGAGTATTAGACATTTTCTCAAATGAATAAAGTGAACAACTATTTTCAGTATTTGTTACTAATAACAAATTTTAAGCTTTTAGGAAAAACATAATTTTGAAAAATGTGTATATATATCCATAACCTTAAGTGTTTCCTAGCACATAAAGACTTCTCTGATGAGACAGGTTACAAAATTAACAAATACGCCTTTTTGCCAGTTATGGTCGTGCCTTCCTATAATCCCAGATATCCGGGAGTCTGAGGCAGGAGGATTTCAAGTTAGACACAAGCCTCAGCAACTTAAGAGAGAACTTGTCTCAAAAAGGGTTAGGGAAGTAGCTCAGTGGTGGAGTACTCCATATTCCCTGGTACTGYCAAAAAAAAGTAAAATATTTTTGATATTTTATAATGAAACATCTCAATATGTAAAAGATCTGTATAACTCAATAAACTCTGATTTTTATAAATAACCACTATATTATGATACAAAATCATTCATGGATAAAGGGTTCATTCAAAGTACAAGGCATATCAATGAATTTTAATGTTTAACATTACAAAAAATTCATTAATATGGTTTCAGCTTTCACACTGCAAATAACTTTTAAGAAATTACAATTTGTGTGTGTGTGTTTTTGGTGGTGGTACTGGGGATCSAAYCTGGGGTCTTGCACATGCTAAGTAAGTGCTCTACCAACTGAACTACACCCCCAGTCCACCATTTGTGTTTGATGYAGTACCTAAGAACAGTCAACAATATCTGAAAGCAGTATATAATAGTATTTCCTTTTTCTATGCAAAGCTAGATTTTCTTTATGTATTTTAGGAATTAGCAACTTTTCTTTTTTAAGCAAAGATCTAGATAATAAATTTTTTAGGTTTTATAGGCTATATAGCTTCTACTACAACTATTCAACTCTGCCACTATAGTACACAGACAGCCACAGACAATTTGTAATTGARTGAGTGTGGCTGTATTAATATTTTATTTATGGTCACTAAAATACGAGTTTCACATAATTTTCATGTATGATGACATATTATCCTTTTGTTTTTTTCAATGATTAAAAAAACCCACTCAATTTGTGCAGTATACAAAAACAAGCAATAAATTGGATTTGAGCTGCAAGGCTTGGTGTTTGGAGCCCAGATTTACCTCAAACAAAATAAGATATCCAAAAGACTAAACACAGAAATAAATATGACAATCTAGTTGACTTATATTAGATAGGTATTAAAAAAATACAAAACAATGTCACTCTTTTCATAATTGTTGTATTTTGGAGAAYACAGTTATTTTCCTAAAGATATTTATGCTAATATGTACAGGGTGTGTTACTGTTGTTTTTAAGTAATAAGTATTTTTTAAATGTTGGGGTTGGGGAGATAGGAAAAAATTAAAATATATCTGTTTTAATTTCTAACAGGATGACTATTGATAGATCTTACATGAACAAAGACTCCTGARGCACAATTTGTAAGAAGGAAAAAGGATCCCGAGACTAATAACTTGAAAAAAATTCCTGTCCTAGCAAATCCAAAAAGTACTTCTGGGACAAATTTGCAAAATTATACATTGTTTCTTTCCTACTTCATATATAAAACAACAAACAGCAGTAGGCAAAGAGCAAAATGAGCAAACTACCTATATTCTAGAAACCAACAATCATGAATCTGGGGAGAAGCATTAGATATGGATGCACCTCCTTCAATTTTGCTCCCTGTAAACAAGCAAAGAGCTTACTGCCCCCACAAAAGTTAGGCTTCAAGACTATCTTTCCGGAGGCAGGGGTGTAGTTTTACTCTTACCTGATGCAGTGTTCCAACCTAGCCTCCTGCTGGAACACTGTGTCAACCCTGCCTTCCTCCTGAGGGTTCTGCTCTGCCCTGACACCATCAGAGCATCAGGGCTGAAAAAGAAGAGCATGAGCCTAAATTGTTTGTTAAAGCTAACCCCCAAAGGGCTTTTACGTAAAGAAAGTTTCTCTCCAGGTATAAAACTGGTTTGTCAGGAATAGACAAACCAGTATGATCATACTGGGGAATGATATCTAGTTTATTAACACTGGYAGCAGTTTTCATCCTTCTACCTTTCAAAGAATCTGGAAAATTCATAGGTTCAGTCCAATACAATGTACCTGCTGAAAGCTTCTTTACTAGAGAACTTCAGTGTTGTTTTAAATTTGTAACTATCCATCCTAAATTTWTTTTTTATATTATATTTAGTATATTAAAAGTTATTTCAAAAGTGACTGCTAGCT